AAAGTAGATGAATAGAGCTTTGATTTGCAATGAATTTGAGTGAATTCGGTTGAGAAACGAGCAAGAACCGAGCAATTGAAGTTCTGCGGTTTTTCAAGCAGTTTTGTGACGAGCAAGCAGCAAAATGAAGAAAGGGGTATTTAAGGAAATCCCCGTGCTAGCGCCAAGCCCTAGGCATTGGCGTCAAAAATTAGGCTTGGCGCCTGGCGCTAAGGCTAATTGTGTGGCGCTGATGGCTTTTTAGTGGCACCAGAACGCCCAGCCACTTAGTGAGGTTGTTCTACCTTTCTGCAGCATATTTTTGGGTTCCTTGGTACGCTAGTTAGCCCTCTAAGCAATTTGACATGATTTAGAAATCGGCTTGATTACATAAAGTGATCGACCTGATAAAAGATCGTCTCACTTAGCTTAAAGCTCCTAAGCATTGGCTCATTAAAAAAAAAATAAAAAAAAAAATAAAAATAAAAAATAACACCGACGTATAGGTTCCAAAGCGAAAAAAACCACCGACATAATGGTCATTCGCAAAAGGCACCGACATACAGGTTCAAAGCAGCAGAAGCACTGACATACTGGCATAGCGGAAGCAAAGTTCAGGCGAACTTTTAAAGATCGACAAGCGTGGGTCTTCGGTAATTTCCTTAGGAAGATTATCGCATCAAATGAGGATGACTTCAAGCGAGGATATCTTCGACGGCATTCCCTAGCTTGCGGAGAGTTGTCACAAACAACTGAAGGTAATTTCAGGCGAAGTTGTCTTCGATCGTTTTCCCTTAGGCATGGAAGATGGTCATAATGCGGAAGGAGATTGTTTCGAGAGGAATAATCTTCGATAGTATTCCCTTGGACATGGAATATTATCAATGCGGATGAGGATTGTTTCAAGAGAAATAATCTTCGATGGTATTCCCTTGCACGTGGAATATTATCAAAGCGAAGGAGATCGTTTCAGGCGAAGCAATCTTCCGAATTGGAAGCAGTTACAGGCATAGCAGTTTTCAAGCGGGATGGCATTCTCTAGCTTGCAGGAGGTCATCAAAAAAATCAGCAAAGCGGCAGAAAATCGGTTACTTTCAGAGACGTGTGCTCGACGGTGCAAGATACGTGTTTCTTAACTCTTTTATCTGTATAACTAGCGCTATTTTGCAGGTATCGGCAATACAAGAGTGATTTAGGATCGCAAAACGTTCTGAATCATTCTCCGTCCCTATCGATACTTTGACTTTTGTTTTCGAAACTTGTGTTTCTCCAAACTCAGTCAAAGTGGGGGCTTCTGTAGACACCCATTTGTGTCTCCCCAAAACTAAACCCAGTGATGAGTGCCTTTCACGTCGAATCATAATCGAATGAAGCGAAAGTGTGGAAAGTCTAGTGTTGCGGATAGTTTTTAATTTCTTTCTCTTCTCTATGTTTTTGAAAGCCAATACAGTTTGGTTGGTCCATGATATGGGTCCAATAGTAGTGTAGTTGGATCGGTCTTGACAAGAGCTTTCCAACGATATATTATAAGCCCAATTCCGATGAATATTGAGGAAGTTATGGCCAATTTACCAAACTGGGCCCGGTTCTGAGCCTTATATGTGGCTCAATGATCTAGGGGAGGGCCTAATATGATTTATCATTCCTAATGCAATTAGGAGTGGTTTTAGTCTTCTAAATTTTTCTAGAAGGTTCTTTTCATTCCTAATTCAATTAGCATTGATAAATTGACTTTTGTTGACTTTTTAGAGTTTTATTTAAAATCAAATAGCATTTTTGAGGAAAATATACGATTTTATCCTCTAGTACGGCAAACTTATCTGATTTTCAAAAACGCGTTAAAGCCAGGCTTGGCGCCTGACTCCAGGCATTGGCGCCTGGAACCAGGCCTGGCGCCTTGCGCTGGTGTTGGTGCTTGGCGCCAGTTAGCCAGGGTTTGCGCCAGCTCTGTTTTTTGTGCGTCAGACTCTGTTATTAAATTTTATTATCAATGGTAAACCTAAATTATATTCGTTTTAAATTTTCTTTGGTGAACTCCAACTTTTCATTTTCTAAGTGGTAAACATTCTTAAATTTTATTATCAATGGTAAACCTAAATTATTGTTTACCATTGATAAGTGTTATTTCCTTAACTATAGTTAGTTTTTTATTTTCTAAATTATATTGAATATATTTAAAAAAATAATTAAAAAAAAAAAAACCAACCCCTCCTCCAACCCACTGCCCAGCCCCCTCCCCCAACCCAGCCCCTGCGAACTACCTCCACTAACTCCGGCGACCCCTACCTCCTCCCTCTCCTCTACCTATGACACCTCCACACTCCCCTAAAACCCAAACCCATTCCCCCGATATGAACCAACAACTCCCTCGAAAACCACTTTCCTCCCCACCGCCGGTGTCCAGACTCTCAACCCCGCACCGGCGAACCCAAACCGCCCCTCCCCCTACCATCTCCACCCTCTGAAACACCACGTCGAAACCCAAAATTAAAAGCCCCAAAATCAATTTTTAGGGCTTCGATTTTAGGGTTTTAAGGTTTCGCGTGGTGATTTTTGGCTGGACGGCGACGACGTGGACCTAGGGGTGGAGACTTGGGCTGCCGACAAAGGGGATTCGGGTCAGGCGTCGGTGGTGGCGAGGAGGCTAGGTGGGTGTTGTGGGAAGGTTGTTGGGCTAAGGTGGCTCATTAGTGGGGGGTTAGAGGTGGTGGTTTGGGAGATGTCGGGATGGGTCAGAGGTTTCGGGTCAGACGTCGGTCGGCATCGGGGGTTTGGTAGGGGTGCCGGCCGCCGGCAGGGGGAGGGGAGGCTTGGCAGTGGGTGGGGGAAGGGGTGGTTGATTTTTTTAATTTTAGTATAATTTTAAATTGTTAAAAATAATTAAAAACCTAACTATTGTTAAAAAAAAACCTAACTATAGTTAAATTTTTAATAAAATATAATAATTAATGTCATAAGTAATAAGTATAAAAGTGAGAGTTTACCAAAGATAATTTTATAAACCTTTGTTTACCACTTAGAAAATGAAAAAGTTGGAGTTTACCAAAGAGAATTTCCTTGTTTATTTTATCTTTTTGGCTTATTTTCTCTATAAATAACGTATTAAAAACTTCGTTTTCATTCACCAATTCTCACCAATTTTTGTCAACAATCAGTTTTCATTCGCAATATATATTATATATATATATATATATATAATAGAGGAAGGCTCATATAAGAACCCTTCTCTATATAAGAATCCAATCTTATATATAAATCCACTCAACCGTTCAATGATTTTGATCTAACTATCTAAAATACCCCTTTAGTAATGGCATTTTTGTAATTTTAATAACTTTTTTTCAATCTTTAAACAAAAGAAAACCCTAAATCTCTCTCCTTAGCATTTTCTCTCTCCTCAGCATTAACTCTGTTCTCTCTCCTCTACCTCAAGGAACTTGATAAGTTTATTTAATTTTATTTTTTTTGCGTTTTTTTTTTTTGCCATTTTAAGTTCGATTGTTTTTATATTTGATTCGATTTTGTTGATTTTTTTTGGCGATTTAAAGTTTTTATTTTTGGTTTTTTTTTTCGATTTTTAAGAATATATTTTTCGAATTTCTAGTTTTTTTTTCGATTTTTTATTTTCAAGTTGTTTTTTTCGATTCTTTTTTTCGATTTTCCTGTTTTTTTTCCAGTTTTTTTTTTGTCGATTTGACATTTTTTTTTCGATTTCTTATTTTCAATTTTTTTTTACGATTTTTTTTTCGATTTTCCATTTTGTTATTCTATTTTTCAGTTTTTTTTTTTATTTTCCATTTTATTTTGTCGATTTTCCATTTTTTTCGATTTCTTATTTTTAATTTTTTTTTACGATTTTTTTTTTTATTTTCCAGTTTTTTTTGTCGATTTTCCATTTTTTTTATTTCTTATTTTCAATTTTTTTTCGATTTTCCATTTTGTTTTTTATATTTTCTAGTTTTTTTTTGTCGATTTTCCATTTTTTTCAATTTTTTTTTCAAGTTTTTTTTTATTTTTCGTTTTTTTTTCCAGTTTTTTTTTTCGATTTCAATTTTTTATTTTTCAATTTTTCCCTCTGTTTTTTCCCTAATTTTTTTTGCTTTTTTTAAAGTTTCTAGTTTTCATTTTCAATTTTTTTTTTCCAAATTATTTTTTCTTGCTAGAGTTTTTCTATTATTGGATTTTAATTTCAAATTGTTTTTTTACTATAATAGAAAACTTTAGAACATAAGGGAAAACTTTAGAACATAATAGAAATACTTTAGAACATAAGTAAAAACTTTAGAACATAATAGAAATACTTTAGAACATAATAGAAATACTTTAGAACATATAGATAGAAAATGTTAGAACATAATAGAAATACTTTAGAACATAAGGGAAAACTTTAGAACATAATAGAAATACTTTAGAACATATAAATAGAAAATGTTAGAACATAATAGAAATACTTTAGAACATAAGGGAAAACTTTAGAACATAAGTAAAAAAATATAATAAAACATAATAGAAAACTTTAGAACATATGGGAAAACTTTAGAACATAATAAAATACTTTAGAACATATGGGAAAACTTTAGAACATAATAGAAACATTATAACATAATAGAAAACTTTAGAACATAATAAGGGAAAACTTTATAACATAGTAGAATACTTTATAACATAATAGAAAATCTTAGAACATAATATAAATACTTTAGAACATAAGGGAAAACTTTAGTACATAAGGGGAAAATATAATAGAACATAGTAGAAAACTTTTGAACATAATAGCAAACTTTATAGCATAATAGAAATACTTTTGAACATAATAGCAAACTTTATAGCATAATAGAAATACTTTAGAACATAATAGAAAATCTTAGAATATAAAAGAAATACTTTAGAAAATAAGGGAAAATTTTAGAACATAAGGGAAAAATAATACATAAACTTTAATTACCTTTTTCTTCTATAAGTAATTTCAGATTGGTTTTTTACTACAATTTTATTTATGATAATTAGGTTTTGGCATATTCATGGATTTAGATGATGTTCAAGATAATTCTCCTTCTTCCGCTGTTACTCATTCAGGTAATTTTCATTGTTTTAATACTTTAATTTCAATTTACTTACTTGTTCTAAACTTTACTTAGTTGTATATTTTAAAGTAATTTTGTGAATTTGTGGATTATGTTTAAAAGTTGTTTTAATGTTCTAGATTAATTCATTATGTTCTAAACTTTTCCACTTTATTCTATTTTAATTTAGTTACATGTTCTAAACTTTACTTACATATTCTAAACTTTAAACTTTACTTACATGTTTTAAAGTAATTTTGTAAATTTGTTGATTATGTTCAAAATTTGTTTAATATTCAAAAAAAATTCTAGTTATGTTCTAAAGTAATTCTTTATTTTCTAAATTTTTTCACTTTATTCTAAATTTTATTATGTATGTTATAAAGTAATTTACTATGTTCTAAAGTTTATTCTTAATGTTCTAAACTTTTTTCATTATGTTCTAAAGTTTTCTATGTATGTTTCTCTTTCTCTTTATGTTCTAAAGTTTATTCTTAATGTTCCAATATTTTCTTCATATTTAATGACTTTTATTGTAAGTTCTAATTTTTTTTTTCTTTTTATGTTCTAATGCAGTTGGTGTTATTTATCGTACTCCTGAGGTTGTTGGATCATTTAGCCCTGGTGGTACCACTAAGGAATGGATTCCAAGTGTTCCCGAAGAGTTAAAACCTCGTTTGGGGATGATATTCAAAGATCCCAAAGAGGGTCTTAGTTTTTATAAAGCATATGCAAATGCCGCTGGGTTTACTTCTAGGAAATCTACTACTACAAGGAAGAAGAATAACAAAGATATAATTGCTTTTCAATATGGAGTTTGTAATAAGGAAGGTTTCAAGGCAACAAAAAAACCTATTGCTCAACAAACCGTTGATGAAGAAGGAAAAGTTCGTATTACTAGGAAACGTTTATTGACTCGTGTAGGATGCAATGCTCACATATGTATGAGATATGATGCAGGAAATTATGTTGTTAGTCAATTCAAAGAAGAACATAATCATTGTTTATATACTCCAAGTTGTGCAAAATTTCAAAAGGATAATAGAAAAATGCATATTATGCATAAGAAGTTGATTGTTGATAATTCAAAGGTGATTTATTTTTATTTGCCAAATATTGTTTTCTTTGTTCTAAAGTTGATCTTTAATCATAGTAATTTTTCTTTCTCTTTGTTTTTGTACACAGGTAAATGTTGGTCCTGTGAGGTCTTATACAATGATGAAAGAATTAGCTGGATCACATGATAATGTTGGTGCATCTAAACAAGATTTCAAAAACTTTTATAGAGATTTGAAGGCTTATATTGCTGGATCAGATGCCCAAATGTTTGTGGATAACTTTCAAAATAAGAAATTGCTTTGGAGTGCCTTTTTTTTTACTATGATGTTGATGAAGAAGGTAGACTTTGTAGAGCTTTATGAGCTGATCCTATTTGTCGAAAAAATTATGCACTTTTTGGTGATATGGTTTCTTTTGATACAACGTTCCAAACAAACAGGTGATGTTCTAAATGTAGATTTTTTTATGTTCCTAAATTAATATCTATCATGTTTTGATGTTCTAAACATATATTTCTTATGTTCTAAATTATGTATGTCTTATGTTCTAGACATATATTGCTAATGTTCTAAACATATATTGCTGATATACTAAACATAGATGCATTATGTTCTAAAATATTGGCAAGTTTAATAATTAAATTAAATTTCTATGCTCTGAAGTTTATCCTTAATGTTCTAAAGTATACATTTATGCTTCACAATTTATCTTTATGTTCTAAAGTTTATCCTTAATGTTCTAAAGTATACCTTTATGCTACACAATTTACCTTTATGTTCTAAAGTTAATCCTTATGTTCTAATATTTTCTGCATATATAATTTGTGTATGTTACAGATATAATATGATCTTTGGTCCATTTACTGGAGTTGATCATCATAAGAAATGCGTTACTTTTGCGGCTTCTTTTGTAGCTCATGAAGATATATCATCTTTCGAATGGGTTTTCAAAACTTTTCTTAAATCAATGGGAAATAACGAGCCTGTGTGTTTGATTACTGATCAAGACCCTGCAATGAAAGTTGTTGTTCGTAATATTTTTCAAACTACAGAACATAGGTTTTGTATGTGGCATATTATGAAAAAGGTGCCTGAAAAAGTAAGTCGGGAAATTACCCAAGAAACTGATTTTTTGAAAAAACTTTGTGCATGTGTTTGGCATTTAGAGATTGAGCCAGCAGAATTTGAAGAAAAGTGGAACAAAGTTATTTCAGAATTCAATTTGAACGATCATGAGTGGTTGGCTCACATGTTCAACATACGTGATATGTGGATTCCAGCGTATTTCAGAGATTTATTTTTAGGTGGCATCATGAGGACCACATCTAGATCCGAAAGTGAAAATAATTTTTTCACTATGTTCACAAATCCCCATCTCACTTTGATTGAGTTTTACATGAGGTAATATGTAAATGTCTAAATATGTTCTAATTTTAATCTTTATGTTCAAAAGTTTTTCTTTAATGCTTAAAAGTTTTTTTTTATTTATAGTTTTACCATATTTTTCAAATCTCTTTTATTTTATAGTTTTAGGAAATAGCACATGGAAAAAATTTTATTTTTAGAAATTTTTAAAACATAATAGAAACTTTAGAACATAATAGAAAACTTTAGAACATAAAGAGAAAATATAATAGAACATAATAAAAATCTTTAGAACATAAGGAAAAACTTTAGAACATAGTAGAAATACTTTAAAACATATAGGAAAACTTTAGAACATAATAAGAATGACTTTTTTCAACTTTCTTTAATGCTTTAAAGTATTTTTTTTTTAATTTTATTTTATAGTTTTACCATTTTTTTCAACTCTCTTTTATTTTATAAATTTTGTCTTAAATGTTTTTAAGTTTTAGTTTAATGTTTTAATAGTATTTAGATCATGTGTATTATTTTAATATGTTCTAATGTAATTCACTTTATGTTCTAAAGTTATTTTCTATGTTCTAAAGTTAATTTTTATTTTCTATAGGTTTGAATGTGCATTGGATGCTCAAAGGCACATTCAAAATAAAATGGATAATGATTCAGAGAATAAACGTCTAGAGTGTAAGACTCCAATTCCTTTAGAAAAAGATGCTTCTGAGTTGTTTACAACAACAATTTTTTTATGAATTTCAATATGAGTTTGAAATTGGATGTTTTAATTGTGGTGTTGAGGAGATGAAGAATGACAATGAGATTTACATTTTCAAATTAAGGGAAGGATCTTGGAGGAGGGCTTTTGATGTTGTTTTTTATCCAACTACCTTAGATACCAAGTGTTTTTGTAAAAAATTTGAACGTGATGGTGTGCCTTGTAGGCATATGATTTGGGTGTGGAAAGCAAGGATGTTAGAAAAAATTCCCAAGACTTACGTTCTAAATAGATGGTGTACAATGGCTTATAAGAAGCCCATTTTTTATTTAGAGGGTAATGTTTTAGAAGAATGTCTTAATGCAGTAGATAAAAAGATGCTATTAAATGATTTGTGGTGTGAAAGTCATGCTTGTGTGAGTTTAGTGAAAAACAATGAAGATGATCTAAGTGATCTTGTCAAAAAACTTCGAGCCATGAGAATAGATTTGGAACAGAAGAAAACAACAAATGGAAGCAACAATTTTTGTAGCAAAGTTAAAGACATTGAAATGCTTATTGGAGCTAGTTTACCTTCTGAAGTTTTGATCAAAGCTCCAAAAATTTCAAAAAACAAAGGTACAGGGGTTCATGTTCCAAATCAGGTTAATGTTCCAAATGATACCCCTATTCCAAATGATACGCATGTTCCAAATAGTGACAAGAGAATGAAGAGTGACAGAGAAAAAGTTGTTGAACAAAGTCAAAAGAAGAAAAGATTATGTAGAGCATGTGGAGAGCTTGGTCATCATGATAGTCGTAATTGTCCAGGGAAAGTCAAGTGATATTGTAAGTAAACATTTTTTTCTTATGTTCTAATTAGTAATAAATTAAAATTATTACTAATTAGAACATAAGAAAAAAAATGCATCAAATATGTTTGAATTTAAATTTAATACTTTGAATTTTTAATTTAAACATTTTGTATATGTTTTAAAATGCATCAAATATGTTCTAAAATTTATAATGTGTTTATGTTCTAATTATTAATTTTTTTTTTTCAGGTTGACTATGCTATTCGTACAACCGTATGGGACATTTTATTTATAGGAAATAGCGCAAAAAAAAAAAAATTTGTGTAAATTTTTTTTTATATTTTTTTTTTATTATTTTGAGAACATAATGACATATTATTTTTTGTCCAATTATTATCTATATTCTTATGTTTACAATTATAATATAACATCATTTTATTGTAACATAAGGAAAAAATATAATAGAACATAATAGAAAACTTTAGAACATAAGGGAAAACTTTAGAACATAAGGGAAAACTTTAGAACATAATAGAAATACTTTAGAACATATGGATAGAAAATGTTAGAACATAACAGAAATAATTTAGAACATAATAGAAAACTTTAGAACATATGGGAAAACTTTAGAACATAATAGAAATACTTTAGAACATATGGGAAAACTTTTGAACATAAGGGAAAAATATAATAAAACATAATAGAAATTTTTAGAACATAATAAAAACATTAGAACATAAAAGAAAACTTTAGAATATAAGGGAAAAACATAATAAAACATAATAGAAAACTTTATAACATAATAAAAATACTTTAAAACATATTATATAAATAATTTGAATTTGAAACTTAATACTTTATGTTTTAAAATGCATCAAATATGTTCTAAAATTTATAATGTGTTTATGTTCTAATTATTAATTTTTTTTCAGGTTGATTATGCTATCCGTACATAATTAGAAATACTTTAGAACATTGACATGTAATTTAGAACTCAATTACAATTATTTTAAAACATTGATATATAATTTAGGATATCATTAGAAATAATTTAGAACATTGATATGTAAATTATAACATATATATAAAATTTAAAGTACTTTAAAAGATTGAAATGTAATATAAATAATTTCAAACATAATAGAAAATTATAGAACATAATAAAAATACTTTAGAACATAAGGAAAAACTTTCGAACATAATAGAAATACTTTAGAACATAATGGAAAACTTTAGAACATATGAGAAAAATTTAGAACATAAAAGAAATACTTTAGAACATATGGATAGAAAATGTTAGAACATAATAGAAATACTTTAGAAACATAAGGAAAAACTTTTGAACATAAGGAAAAAATATAATATAACATAATAAAAATACTTTAAAACATATTATATAAATAATTTGAGTTTTAAACTTAATACTTTATGTTTTAAAATGCATCAAATATGTTCTAAAATTTATAATGTGTTTATGTTCTAATTATTATTTTTTTTTTTCAGGTTGATTATGCTATCCGTACATAATTAGAAATACTTTAGAACATTGACATGTAATTTAGAACTCAATTACAATTATTTTAAAACATTGATGTATAATTTAGGATATCATTAGAAATAATTTAGAACATTGCTATGTAAATTATAACATATATATAAAATTTAAAGTACGTTAAAAGATTGACATGTAATATAAATAATTTCAAACATAATAGAAAATCATAGAACATAATAAAAATACTTTAGAACATAAGGGAAAACTTTCGAACATAATAGAAATACTTTAGAACATAATGGAAAAATTTAGAACATATGAGAAAAATTTAGAACATAATAGAAATACTTTCGAACATATGGATAGAAAATGTTAGAACATAATAGAAATACTTTAGAAACATAAGGGAAAACTTTAGAACATAAGGAAAAAATATAATATAACATAATAGAAAACTTTAGAACATAAAAGAAAACTTTAGAACATAATAGAAATACTTTAGAACATAAGGGAAAACTTTCGAACATATGAGAAAACTTTAGAACATAATAGAAATACTTTAGAACATATGGATAGAAAATGTTAGAACATAATAGAAATACTTTAGAACATAATGGAAAACTTTAGAACATATGAGAAAACTTTAGAACATAATAGAAATACTTTAGAACATATGGATAGAAAATGTTAGAACATAATAGAAATACTTTAGAACATAAGGGAAAACTTTAGAACATAAGGAAAAAAATATAATATAACATAATAGAAAACTGTAGAACATAAGAGAAAATTTTAGAACATAATAGAAATACTTTAGAACATATGGGAAAACTTTTGAACATAAAGGAAAAAAATAATAGAACATAATAGAAATACTTTAGAACATAAGGGAAAACTTTAGATTATAAGGGAAAAATATAATAGAACATAATAGAAAACTTTAGAACATAATGGAAAACTTTAGAACATAATAGAAATACTTTAAAACATATGGGAAAACTTTAGAACTTAATAAAAATAACTTAAAATTATGTTAATGTTCCAAATAAGGTTAATGTTCCAAATAAGGTTAATGTTCCATATGATATCAATGTTCCTAAATTTCTTTATAGCATAATAAAAAAATTATAATTAACTAAATCAAAACTTTACACTTTACCATTTTTGTAAAATCATCCCCATATTTGTCTTCAACCGAAACATTTGGTGGAAGAATCATGTTATCATTGACATCAAGAGTACCTTCCATAAAGTTGAAGCACAACAAATAATAGTGATCCGGTAAAACAGCCGGAAAGAAAACCTACATTTAGAACATAATCAGAGACTTTAGAACATAATCAAACATGTGTTTATAACATAATCATATACTTTAAAACATTATAAAAATAAATTAGAACATAATCAGAACTACTTTATAATATCTTTTGAAATACTTTATAACATTGACATGTAATTTAGAATATAATGGTAAGATAATTAGAACATACATAGCATTCAGTAGAGAAAAAAAATCTACTCTTCTTGTCTACACCACGCCTTTTGTTTTCACAATTTAATATGAAAGCATAAGCATCTGCAATGTTGTTGAACATGTGACTACATCCTGAAAGACTATCCATCTCATCTCTCCTAATCACCATTGCCGCTTTGTCAGCATACAAAAGTTCCCTAAAGTGAGAACAAAAACTACATTAAATCAAAACAACATTTTGAACATAAACAAAATACTTTAAAACATAAGCACATAATTTTAAACATAAGCAGCATAGTGCTTTAGAACTAAATTTTAGAACATGACCAGAAATATTTTAGAACATAAACTATATTAATCAAAACATAATTTTGGACATTAGCATAATACTTTAGAACATAAGCACGTAATTTTGAACATAAACATACAACTTTAGAACATAAGCATAGTAATTTAGAACATAAACTTGTAACATTTAGAACATTTACTTAGGAAGAATATAACCATCAAAATTGAATTTGATTAGAAAACGAAGATGGGAATTTCAAACATGTATTTTAAAACATAAGTTTCTACCTTAGAAGATAAATACAATATTTAAACATAAATATATATATTTTATGACATAATCAAATACTTTTATTATAAGCATATAAATATAGATGGATGAAATCTTACGCGTTATCTCCTTGAGCAAAAGCATACTCAGCTATCATTTTATGATCTACATTGTTGAAGAGTTTTTCATGATTAACCATAAAAGGCGAACGCAAGTACATTGGAAGCTTATCCTTTCCTCTTTTTTTTTCCTTGTTTCTTCTTCTTCTTCTTCTTTTTTTTCTTCTTTTTGCTTCCTATTCAATTGAATTAAAAAAAATCAACAACTAAAATCAAATAATAATCAAACAACCGCCACAGCCTAAATCTAATTATCGTTGCTTATTCTCTTTGTTGTTCTTTTCTTCAACATGCTTCTTCTTTTCTTTTTTGGTTTTGTTGTCCTCTTCTTCTTCATTCAATGTAGGTGGATGATCTAGATTAAAAAAATTTAGAACATTAAAAGAACTTTTGACATAATAAATATAATAAATTTCCAATATAAATATAACAAAAATAAAGTTAAAATAAGTCAAACTTACCAACTATTGGTGAGGGCGTCAACAAATTGAAGCTTGGAGGTGAAATATCTTTATGCATCTTTTTTGGAGGAATTGGTGTCTTTGGTGTGTCGTCATTCCTTTTCGTTTTCTTCTTTGTTGTACGCAAGAAAATTTTAAGCTTATTCTTTTGTCTAAACAAAATCAAAATTACTTTTAGAACATGGGCAAGTAATTTAGAACATAATTAGAAATACTTTAGAACATAAACATAAATACTTTGGAACATATTTGAAATACTAATAACAAACCCAAATCAAAACCAATATATATAACTAGAAAACACAGACCATTAATCCTATATTAAAGTTTTACCAAATCGTCCAACATATGTTCTAAACCAAAACCAATGTATTAAATATTCCTATTATTAAGTTACATTGATTACCCTTTCTTTGCTTCAAATTTCTTTTTTGCCTCTTTTTCTCCTTCCTTCGCCTCTTGCCTTTCTTCTTGATTATTCTTTTGTCTTTGTTTTTACTTTTCTTCTTGTTCTTGAAAATATAAAGGAAAACTTTAGAACATAAGGGAAAAATAAAATTTAACATAATAGAACACTTTAGAACATAATAGAAATACTTTAGAACATAATAGAAAATACTTTATAATCAAAAGTACTTTAAAATATTGACATGTTCTATAAATAATTTCAAACATATATTATAATCTTTAGAATATAATAGAGAACTTTATGTCATAATTGGAATACTTTAGAACATAAGGGAAAAATTTAGAACATAAAGAAAAAATATAATAGATCATAATAGAAAACTTTAGAACATAATAGAAAATCTTAAAACATAATAGAAATACTTTAGAACATAAGGGAAAACTTAAGAACATAAGGGAAAAATATAATAGAGCATAATAGAAAACTTCAGTTTAGAACATAATAGAAATACTTTAGATCATAACCTTTTGCCAAATCTCCTTCTTGCTCCTTTTGTCTTTCTCCTTCCTTCGACTCTTGACTTTCTTCTTTATTATCCTCTCGTTCTTGGTCTTGCTTCTCTTCTTGTTCTAGAAAACATAATTATAAAACACAATATTAGATTATAATTGTATCATAAGAATTTGAGTTGGAACATAAACATAAACTTTAGAGCATAAAGTGCAAACTTTAGAACATATAGCTTAAACTTTAGAACATAAGCATATACAAATATTCTATTTCCTTTTTTTTTAGTAATTTTCCTTTTTAAAATACTTTAGAACATAAGGGAAAACTTTAGAAAATAAGGGGAAAATACAATAGAGCATAATAGAAAACTTTAGTTTAGAACATAATAGAAATACTTTAGATCATAACCTTTTGCCAAATCACCTTCTTGCTCCTCTTGTCTTTCTCCTTCTTTCTCCTTTTGTCCTTCTCCTTCCTTCGACTCTTGTCTTTCTTCTTTATTATCCTCTCGTTCTTGGTCTTGCTTCTCTTCTTGTTCTAGAAAACATAATTATAAAACACAATATTAGATTATAATTGTATCATAAGAATTTGAGTTGGAACATTAACATAAACTTTAGAACATAAAGTGCAAACTTTAGAACATATAGCTTAAACTTTAGAACATATAGCGTAAACTTTAGAACATAAGCATATACAAATATTCTATTTCATTTTTTTTAGTACTTTTCCTTTTTAAAATACTTTAGAACATAAGGAAAAACTTTAGAACATTAGGGGAAAATATAATAGAGCATAATAGAAAACTTTAGTTTAGAATATAATAGAAATACTTTAGATCATAACCTTTTGCCAAATCTCCTTCTTGTTCCTCTTCTCTTTCTCCTTCCTTCTCCTTTTGGCTTTCTCCTTCCTTTGCCTCTTGTCTTTCTTTTTTATTATCCTCTTGTCCTTGGTCTTGCTTCTCTTCTTTATCTTGAAAACATAATTATAAAACACAACATATAATATAATTGTATCATAAGAATTTGAGTTGGAACATTAACATAAACTTTATAACATAAAGTGCAAACTTTAGAACATATAGCTTAAACTTTAAAACATATAGCGTAAACTTTAGAACATAAGCATATACAAATATTCTATTTCATTTTTTTTTAGTACTTTTCCTTTTTAAAATCAATTAATTAAAAGAACATTAATAAGAAATGAGTTTGAAAATAGTTGGAAATTACCAAGTATAGGTGAAGAGATACTATCATCTATCTTTTCATTGATATTTCTCTCATCGTTGTTCTTTTCTCTTTCTCCTTCATTTGATGGCAAATATTCATAATAATTACAAAACACAATTTTAGAACTTAACTATATCATAAAGATTTGAGTTGGAACATAAACACTTGATTTAAGAGCATAATTTAGAACATAGGTATAATTTAGAAATTAAACATGTAATTACCATGTCCCAATGACTTTGGTGACTTTTCAACATTAAATTTCTTCCATGCAATGTTCATCAACATATCCAATTCTTCTATGAATGCCGGTTCATCGAAGAAATGTTGATCTTGACTAAGTATGGAAGGACTTTTTGTCTGTTGCTTTTCTTCTTCTTGATTTACCAATGGCTATATATAAGAATACATAAGTTAGAATCCAATAAGACATTTATATATGTTGAACCAACATTAAATATAAAAATTACACTTTAGAACATACGCTGAAAATAGTTTAGAACATGATTATTATACCTTTGTGGTATACTTGCACCAAATGTTGTCTATAAGATGATGCATTTTCCCCGTTGTTTCTTCCTCAACAAAGATATCCTTTGCTTGTTCCAACATGCTATACATCTCTTTTACATTCGATGCAAGACTTTTTGCCAAATCTCCAAATTTGCTTAAAAAACCCTAATAATTTAGAACATAAAATAATGAATATTTAAAATATTATAGAAATAAGTAAATAAATTAATAAAAAAAATATTAAAACATTATACCATCATATCATTTGGAGACGTGATAGAATCACATGTCATTGATTGGTTTTCCACAACTTTCTCTTTTCCTTTGTCTTTCCCTTGCTTTTTTATTACTTTCTTCTCCCCTTGTTTTTCTCTAATTGTCAAGGGTTGCTCTTTCTTCTTGCCTTTGTCATTCTCTTGCCTTTTTTCCAATCCCTTTTTAAATATACATTATAAATTTTAGAATACATGCATAAATATATTGTATAGATAAATGTAAAACGATAATAAACTTTAGAACATATATTACAAAGTTTAGAACATATAGTATAAACTTTAGAACATAAGCATATACAAAAATCATACCACATTCAATTTCATTCTTTTTAGTACTTTTCCTTTTCCAAATCCAAGGTCTTTCTCAAACTTCAATCTTGTATGGAACCTTTCTTGGTTCCACAATGATATTAATGGAACTTGACGTGGTATCTCGAACTCCTTCCTTTGTACCCGATCAAAATAGGATACCTAAAAGAACATCATTAGAAATACTTTAGAACATTGATATATAAAGTAGAACATAGATATATAATTTAGAACATCATTAGAACTTACCATAAGAAAGATTAAAGGACCCGTAAAGAAAGATTCTCCATCTAGCCATTTCTTAGTAGTTTCCATCAAGTGCTCCTTAACAAATTTGCACCAATTCAACTTAACTATATTCTTTGTATCCTTGCAACTATACAAAAACTTAATGTATAGTTGCTTGTTATTAGTTGAACGGATGCAACTATTAACCACACAAACCAAAAAATTCCAAATGAATTCATCCGAAACTTGTTTTTGTTCTTTATCTACCTCCTTCACCTTTTGAATCCTACTAATCAATTGTGCATTTGTTGGAGCACCCTGTAAGTAATTTAGAACATGGATAGGTAATTTAGAACATAATAAAAAATACTTTAGAACATAATTAAAAAATACTTTAGAACATAATCAGAATAACTTTAGAACATAAGCAAAAATACTTTAGAACATAATCAGAATAACTTTAGAACATAAGCAAAAATACTTTAGAACATAATGGAAAACTTTAGAACATAATAGAAAAACTTTAGAACATAATAGAAAATACTTTATAATCAAAAGTACTTTAAAAGATTGACATGTAATATAAATAATTTCAAACATAATAGAAAATCATAGAACATAATAGAAATACTTTAGAACATAAGGGAAAACTTTCGAACATAATAGAAATACTTTAAAACATAATGGAAAACTTTAGAACATATATCATGTGAACATATGGATAGAAAACTTTAGAACATAATAGAGATACTTTAGAATATATGGATAGAAAATGTTAGAACATAATAGAAATACTTTAGAACATAAGAAAAAAATATAATAGAACATAATAAAAAACTTTAGAACATAAGATAAAGCTTTAGAACATAATAGAAATACTTTAGAACATATGGGAAAACTTTTGACCATAAAGGAAAAAAATAATAGAACATAATAGAAAATCATAAACATAATAGAAATACTTTAGAACATAAGGGAAAACTTTAGATCATAAGGGAAAAATATAATAGAACATATGAGAAAACTTTAGAACATAAGGGAAAACTTTAGAACATAATAGAAATACTTTAGAACATAATGGAAAACTTTAGAACATATGAGAAAACTTTAGAACACTAATGCTTACCAAGAATCCACATAATGTGGTGCATCCAAGTTCAAAAAAGCACCAAATCCAATTTTTTGAATTGCTTGTTTATGCTTATCAGAAAGATTTACCAACACTTGTTTCATCAATTCCTTAGCGGTAACTCTTTGATAAGCCGATCCCTTATTTTTTCCACTTTGATTATTTTGACATCTTCATCATCCTTTTCTTTTTCAATCTTTCTTTTCTTATTTTTCTGATTTTTTTTCAAAGCCACCTGAAAAAAGTAAAACATTAGAAAGAATTTGAATTAGTAGATAAATTATTGTTATAAAAAATAAAGTTTAGAACATATGTATACAATTAAAACATCAATTTAGAAATGTAAGAATTAACTTACAAAAATCATTTACTTATTAATTAAAACATGAAATTTATGACATTAGCATATAATTTAGAACCTTTTTACTATCATCATTCACGCCATCTCTTTTATCATCTTTCTCCTCCAACTTTGGTTCATCCATCTCATCATTAATATCATGTTGATCATCATTTTCATCATCATCATCATCTTCTTCTTCCTTTTTTTCATTTTTCTAGTTGGTTGAATCCTTGATGAAAGCTTGGCACTTTTTTTTCGTTTCTGACTTTGCACATGTTTCTCAAATTCAACTTTGTCAATTACTTCCGCATCATTTTCAACAACTTTCCTTTAAAATCAAATATAAATGATTTAGAACATATATGATAATCTTTAGAACATAATATAAAACTTTATATCATAATATAAATACTTAGAACATAATAGTTACTCTTAGAACATAATAGATATACTTTAAAACATAATAGAAATACTTTAGAACATAAAAGAAAACTTTAGAACATAAGGGAAAAATATAATAAAACATAATAGAAAATTTTATATCATAATAGAAATACTTTAGAACATAATAGAAAAACTTATAACATAATAAAAATACTTTAGAACATAAGGGAAAACTTTAGAACATAAGGGAAAAATATAATAGAACATAATAGAAAACTTTAGAACATAATAGAAAACTTTAGAACAAGGGAAAACTTTACAACATAATAGAAATACTTTAGAACATATGGATAGAAAATATTAGAACATAATAGAAATACTTTAGAACATAAGGGAAAACTTTAGAACATAAGTAAAAAATATAATAAAACATAATAGAAAACTTTAGAACATATGGGAAAACTTTAGAACATAATAGAAATAATTTAGAACATAGTAGAAAACTTTAGATCATTATAAAAATACTTTAGAACATAATAGAAAATCTTAGAACATAATAAAAATACTTTAAAACATAAGGGAAAACTTTAGAACATAAGGGAAAAATACTTTAGAACATAAAGGAAAACTTTAATTACCTTTTTCTTCCTTAAGTAATTTTTTCATCCGGTATAATAGTAATTTCTTCTTCTGATTTTTCTTCATTTTGGCTTTGCATTTTGCTGAAATTTTATAAAATAAAAAACATTAGTAACATTCCTACATTAGTAATATATTTTAAACATAAGAATAGTTTAGAACATGCTGAAAATAGCAAAAAGTTATAATTACAGGCATCTGGTACCAACAAGAGTTGTAGGACTTAATAAAAATAACCATATATCAATAAACAATAAAAAAAATTGATGCCAACCACTCAAGCGCTCACATAAACTCCATAGAGATATATAGCCATTACCAATAAAAACATGAAACCGAACATACAATGAAATGTCTTAGTAATTGATTCAAAAGCAATATAACGTACAATTCTACGACAAAATCGTATCAATTTTGCTTAATAGTTCAAGATAACAAACATAATTTCAGATTGAAAGCATATATTATCCAGTAAATTCTAAAACAACTAAAAAATTTTGCAGGAAAAAAGCAAATTAGAGCCATACAAACTAATTTCATTGCATTTTCTGCGGCATTTGAACATATTTTCATCAGAATTCCCAATTTTTTTTACAGAAAATCAACAAATTCAAAGAATTTAGAATTCAAGTGAAAGTAATTTCTAGTATAAGAAATTGCTTTTGCATCAATCCTTCGCAAAACCTAAACATGATCAACAAAACAAACACCAAAAAAATCGGATTAATGAAGAAAAATTACTTGAAAAATAGCCGAATGTTGCTTTCTCCTGCAATCTGATGATAGAAATTGACTTCTCACGACCTAAAATACGGGTGACAGTTTTTTCAAGTAGCAAAATAGAAAAAATAGAGAAAAATCGAACTAAAATTGAACAAAAATCAAAATATTAGCAAAAATTGAACTAAAATCGAAATAAAAATCGAACTATATATTTCGAAAATAAAAAATAGAAAAGAAAAATAGAACAAAAAAAATAGAACAAAAAAAATTGGAAAATAAAAAAAATAGAAAATCGAACAAATAAAAAAAGAAAATTGAACAAAAAACAAAGAAAATCGAACAAAATTGAACTAAAATTGAACAAAAATCAAAATATTAGCCAAAATCGAACTAAAATTGAACAAAAATCAAAATATTGGCAAAAATTGAACTAAAATCGAAAAAAAAAACAAACCGAACTACATATTTTGAAAATCAAAAATAGAAAAGAAAAATAGAACAAAAAAAAGAAAATAGAACAAAAAAAAAAGTCAAACCAAAAAAAATAGAAAATCGAACAAAAAAAAATAAAATCGAACAAAAAACAAAGAAAATCGAACAAAAAACAAAGAAAATCGAACAAAAAAAAATAAAATCGAACAAAAAACAAAGAAAATCGAACAAAAAAAATAAACAAAATCGAACAAAAAAAAAAAAGAAAATCGAACCAAAAAAAATAAAATCGTACCAAAAAAATATAAAATCGAACAAAAAAAAAAGAAAAACAGTTCGAAAATTCGTAAAGAAAAACAAATTTCAAACTATATAAAATTTTTCAACAAAAATCGAAAAGAAAAAAAAAATAACAGTTCAAAAATTCGACCCAAAATTTTCGAAAATCAACTCAAAAAAATCAAAAAGAAAAACAAAATCCATTCAACATCATGCTAATTTCATAGAAATTTAAACAAAATCGAAAAGAAAAACATACCTTAAATTAAAATCCTTCAAATTGCAATATTAGTAGGGCTGGCAATTTCACGCTGACCCGATGAATATCCGATCCACCCGACCCGAAAAAAATGGATGAAAACCCAACAAATCACGGATTTCAATCGGGTGACGGGTGGATCGGGTGATGGATCGGGTCGGATTCGGGTTGGTGTACATCCAACCCATCACCCGACCCACCCATCCACCCGAATATTTATAATAATATATATGTATATTTTAATATATCAAGTCTTTAAAAAAAAAGAAAAAGCACAGTTAGGGTTTTATTTTCATCCCTTTTCTAATCCGACTTCACTCTTTAGCCTCCACAAGACTTTCTCTCTCCTTCACTAAGACACTCCAACCTTGCTGCAATTCCGGCGACGCTCCGAGCCTCCAACCTCCTCACCTCTGACCAGAACGTGCAAAATTCTTACAGATCGGCGTCCTTGAAGTACTTACCACCATTTAATTATTCGACTCATCCGCAATCTTGTAAGTATATGTTTCTTTTTATTCATCTTCAACATTTATTTGGAAATTTGGAATGAAATTATTTTTCTATCTAGTTTATCATCTTATTCTGATTTTTGTGATTGTACTACTTGTAAATATGCAAACTTTTTCAATTTTGATATGAGTATTGTATAATTTTGAAATGTATGTAAATTTGTTCTTTTTTTTTATTATTTTTTATTTTGTTAGTATCATAATTAGAGAATTTGTATAATTTGAATATGTAACTTGCTTTTGTGATTCATTTTTTTGGTGAAATCTGAAGCTTGTACTTTGTTCTTAGACGAAAATGTTGTATATTTTGTACATAGATTCTTTGTTAGGGTATTTATTGATATTTACTACTACTAATAAAATTAACTGATTTATGAATGTATAGTTCTTTAATTGATGTCGCCTAAACTATTATACATCTAATTTATTATTTTGTTGATGTATAACAGTCATGGACACAGAAGACAGCAGTGCAGGCTCTAAGTCTTTCTCTTTTTCCCCATCTCCATCTCCTGAATTGCCACTTCCAAAGGCAATGTCTTCCCATCCTGAACAACAAAACCACAATATTGAGGAGGAGGGAAAAATGAATGAGCCACTACCTCCACGTCCACCTAAGCGACTAAAATCAGAAGTGTGGAATCACTTTGAGAAGACTACTATCAATGGTGAAGCAAAGGCTAGATGTTTACATTGTAATCATCTATTTTCCGGCAATAGCAAGAAGGGGACCTCTCATTTGAAAGACCATATTGAACTGAGATGCACTAAGAAGCACATGAAGGTTGACATTCATAAAAAAATCTTGTCTATTAATCGTAGACAAGATTCAAGTGTAAGGCTAGAAAACCATGTATTTAGTCAAGAAGAATCAAGAAGGGAGTTATCTAATATGGTTATTCTTCATGAGTACCCATTGTCAATTGTGGAGCATATTGGGTTTCGGAGATTTGTTCATAGCCTTAATCTAAATTTCAAAATAATAAGTCGTAACACTTTGAAAAGTGACATTATGAAGATGTTTTTTTACTGAGAAAGCAAATCTCAAAAAGTTGTTTGATGGTCATGAGGGCAGAGTAGCCATTACAACTGATATGTGGACTGCTTCACACCAGAAGAAAGGATATATGGCTGTCACGTCTCATTTCATTGATGATCAATGGGTTTTAAGGAACAAAACATTGTGGTATTAATATTTTAAAGCTATTTTTATTAAGAATTTGATAATTAGTTTAGTTTTATGCATTTTTACAAAGTTTGGATTGAATTTTTATGCATCTATGTTATTGCAAAATAGGTTTGTTTATGTTCCTTGTCCACACACTGCCAACATGCTTGCTCAAGTTCTTGTGGATACCTTGAATGTGTACAACATAGCTGAGAAAATATCTTTTGTGGTTCTTGATAATTGTACTACTAATGATGCTCTAATTGATGTTTTGCAAGAAAAGTTTGACTATGATAGTTTACTTTGTTGTGGGGAATTTTTACATGTGCATTGTAGTGCACATATACTTAATTTAATTGTTCAGGATGGTTTGGAGGTAATAGGGTCTGGAATTGAGAGGATTCGTAATTGTGTAGTTTTTTGGAGTTCAACTCAAAATAGACTTCAAAAGTTTGAGGATAAGGCTAGATCTTCGAAAGTTGATTGTTCTAAAAAATTGTCCCTTAATTGTAAGACAAGGTGGAACTCGACATATTTAATGCTTCAAAGTGCTTTACCATATAAGAGTGTTTTTGCAAACTTGAAAACTCAAAATCCAAAGTTTAAATTTGTGGTTCCTTCTCAACGGGATTGGGAGTTGGCTGAAATTATATGTGATAAATTGAAAAGGTTTCATAAGGTGACTGAGTTGTTCTCTGGTAGAAAATATCCCACTACCAACTTGTTCTTTCGTCAAGTTTGTGAGATTAAATTAGCTTTGTGTTCTTGGTCAAATAGTAATGAGCAAGTAATTAGGGATATGACAGAAAAAATGGTTGAAAAGTTTGACAAATATTGGTCGAATATCAATGGAATTTTGTCTGTTGCTGCAATTTTAGACCCTAGAAATAAGTTGGAATGTGTGGAGTTTTATTTTAATGAAATATATGGTGATGAAGCTCATGTTAAGGTGGATAAAATAAGGAGTTTGTTGTATGATTTACTGCAAGAGTACCATGGGAAATTTGAAATAGAGGATTTTGTGTCTCCTACTTCTAGTCGTACCGGAAAACGGCCTACTGATTTTGTTACTTGTGATGGTGGTGATGATTTTGATAAACGGCCTGCAAGAGTAACATGATGCTTAACTTCCTGACCTAAGCAACATAGATCGACAATAAATACGATTATACTGTGTTTAGCTTACTGACCTAAATCCATTCATTGATCGTGTCACATGATGTAATTGTCCTTAGCCTCCTAGCCTAAGAACATTCATCATGCATACATTATTTTCAAGATGAAGTTCAAAATTTATTCCATATTTCATCATTTTTCTTAGCTTTTAGGGAAGTTTGAAAACTTCTTCAATTTTTTTTTTTAACGAGGGAAGTTCAAGGACTTTTACTTTTTTATATCTTTCTTTTTCATAAGAAAGCTGGTACCCGCCACTCATGACAAAAAATGACAGAAATTTTACTTTCGTATTTTCAGTTGCTTGTGTCTGCGCACACACTCAAACTATACATTTACACACACAATCACAAGTCATACACATGTCATGTCTAGTCAAGCTTGGTCGAGTCATTTGGTCAAGTCGTAAGTCAATCACAGTTTATACCAGTCCCTTGGAAATTTCTATCATCATCTACCACCTTCGTTTGGGGGTAAACGAACCACCATTATGGTCACTTGGTAAATTCTATCATCATCTACAACACATTGAAAGTTTCTCGAGGCGTAGAAGCTTGTAACTTTCATCATCATACATGTTCTCCCGAGGCAGGGAAAATGGTCAGCTGTTGAATACTTCTCGAGGCGTAGAGGTCTACAATTGTGTCTTGAGGTGCGAACACTTAGTGTTATTCCCTGGGCATGGAATTTCACTTGTGACTTGCTCGAGCCATAGGAGCTCATGATAGGATTCCTTAGGCGGATACTATCTCATATCAGTCTTCCTGAGGCGCAGAAGATCATCATTCAGTAGGCTGCTCGAGGCGTAGAAGTCTACGACATTCCCGAGGCGCCGAAACTTGTCACCTTTCACTTGTGAGTTGCTCGAGGCATAGTAGCTCACGATAGAATTCCCGAGGCGCGGAAGACTATCATTCATCATTATTTACGAGGCTCTGAAGATCATCATTTAGTAGATTTCTCGAGGCGTAGGAGTCTACGACACGTTTCCCGAGGCGTGAAAGCTTGTCACCTTTTATCTAGTGGATCGCTTGAGGCGTAGTGGTTCACAACAGAATTCTCGAGGCGCGGAAGACTATCATCCGGTAGATTTCTCGAGGCGAAGAAAGCTACCAAATATATTTGCTGGCGACGCACTAGTGTCGATACGCATAATATCCCTTTATTCTTTTATCTGTGGAACTAACTTTTTTCTGCAGGTATCGGCGTATACATATAGAGTGATTTAGGATCGCCGAACGTCGTAAATCATTCTCCGTCCCAATCGACTACTTAGACTATCGTTTTCGAAACTTACATTTCTACAAACTCAGTCAAAGTGGGGGTTGCTATAGACACCTAAAAATGTCTACCCAAAACCAACCCCGATGATGAACAACCTTTAACCGCAATTATTGTCAGGGTAAAGTATTTAATCTCGGGAGTGCTTAAAGTCCATATTTGGTCAAACACATTTCACAAATCAGTCCAATTAAGTATTTAGTCAAAGCATAGTCCAACCCTCATTTTAGCCCAAACCTTTTTAATCCATTTCATTTTATTTATTAATTAAGCCTGATTAATAAATATTAATACCCTAAACCTAAATAAGTCTGGAACATTGAAACGACGCCTAAATTATCACGTGCTTAATTTTAAATAAAATGATAAAAATGACTTTAGATGGAATTCCAAGAAAGGGGTTTGTCGTGTCACGACAAACAGCACCATGTCACGGTAATTATTTCTGTCTGACGCGGAAATTTCTAGAGTATATTATTCACGGCGCTTTCATTTCTTGGGTTTCATGCCTTACCCCGCTCATTTCTTCTATACATACAAGACTGATTTCTCAGTTTCGGGGCACCAATTCAGATTCTTTTTCTCTCTTATGCTCTAGCCTACATACTTGTCTTCCTTATTCTTTCATCATACATTCCCTAAGCACTCCCCGGAGTCCATTTAATACCCGAAGTTCCGTACTTAAACAAAGACGTGAAAGGTAGAACCGACTAAGGGTTTGGACCAAATCAACTCTATTTTTATTTAATTTAATTTCAATACAATATATATAATTATTGAAGTTACTAACAATTTATTCACGATGTAGCAATTTGAATAAGCCCGGAACGTGAGTAATTAATTCACTTAATTACTCTTATTATTATTCTTACTGCTCATATCATGATTAGGGTTATTATTATGCTTTGATTTGACTAACGTTATTATGGTTAAATTGCTTTCAATGTTAATGATGAATTTATTATTGTATTGATCATTATATTGCATGTTTAATGAGAATATGTAATTGAATATAACGCCTAATAAGATAATTTGGACAACCGGTTTAGGTTAGAGGTGATCATCAATGGCCCGACCCGCTAGCCCGGCCCGAAAAAAAGTGCAGGTTTGGGCAAGGCTAAAATTGCATTTTTAGTTCAAAACCCGATCCTGACCCGAATAAAACCCGAAAAGCCTGACACTATTTTACGGGTTTGGGCACAAAATTTTATGTTGGGCCCGACCCGGCCCGTTTTTTTATCACCTCTAGTTTAGGTTCCTTTGTTATCTTGTTATGTAATTGAAGTGATCACAATTTTCAGAATCATATGTTGCATTAACATTCAACCAATTTAGCTTAATAATAGTATGGAGCAAATTGAATCTTTGTTTGTATGCCTTTGAGATCACAGAAAATACTTTTCACAATAAGAATCGAGTAGAGGCCAATACGGGCGAATGTGACTCCATGACTCACTTCGTACCATCATCCCCGATCCTCCTTTCATGGTAACAAACCATATGAAGTTAGTAATCTCATGGATTATGAATAGGGTGTAACCTTCACGGGTGAATCGTTGTTGCTTTTCGTTGTCCCTTACTCATGGTTGCCTTTGAATGATCCGTGAACGTTTTACAAGTTCCTTACAAAATTGTTGTCGGCTCTCTACTTTGCTTTGTCTCTAATCGTATCTCAAATCCCCCTTCTTAAGAGTGTCAAGCATATTCACACATGCTTAACGTAGGCATACTTCGGAATGACGCCTATAAATAGCAGAATAATTATAAAGTATAAATAAATATAAGTAATAAAAAGTCATTTTTAGACCCGTGTTAGGCCCAAAACCCGCTAAATTAAACACAGTTTATTTGGGTATGAGGCTAATTATTTAGGCCCAGTGAATATGAGTCGGATCTGGATCCACCTTCAAATATCCGAGTTTGGCTGGGTCTTGTCAAATCCAACCCATTGTTACGCAATAATTGTTTTGTACGGGCAGATGTATCATGCGCATCGTACACCTGGAAGAACATTATTTTATTAATAAAAGAACATTATATATAAATAAAAGAATATTACCTATAAATAAAAGAATGTTACACATAAATAAAAAAAAAAATCATAGTTATAATAAGTGAGGGGACAAGTGTCCCCTCTTGTACCTCTCCCTCCTCCCCCGGTCTAAATAAGTTCATTCTTAAATAACGACACGACCAAATATAAAGTATTAAGAATCAAATTCCAACCCCTTATCACTCTAATTTCAGGACTATTAATTACAAAATCTATATCACTTTGTGAACCAAATGATGTTCTTTTGAAACAACAGCTATATATATGATGGTGTTTAATCAAGGAGAAACCATGAAAGACCAAACTCAATAACAATATAGTAATTATTACCAAACATTTTATTCTTTTCAACAACCATGCATCATCTCCCACGGCAGCACCCCCTCCCAATTAAAAAGCAAACAAGTACAACATTACACACATTACATTACAACATTTTGGTAGTCATATTACTCATTCGTAAATTTGAACTATACCCCCTTTATCCAAAATTAATAATCGTGTTGATTATTGTATTTTGAACTAACACGATCGACCACAACTAATTTGAACTAAGGTAATGCAGTGTAGTCAACATTATTCATTCGAACCCGAATAAAGTGCCTCAAGCATAGAGTTGAGGGTTAGCAATGAGATGCTCTTCCACAGTCTTGAAAATCTTCTTAATGTGTTCTTTTCCCATAGCAATTTCCTCATCAGTCATCACTTGATTATCTCCCTTGGTGTGGTAGTGTGCTACCATCTTGTAGTTAGTTCCGGTGCCTGAAGGCTCGTACTTGTGCTCGTAAACTGCACATTCCAAAGTATCACGAAGTACATCTCCTTCAATGCTAGTGTATTTGATGAAGAAGTTGGTTGTATCAATCTCGTCCACTCTATCCTTTACGTACTTGAATGGAGCCCCTGCAACAATGATTAAATAGTTTATTAGTCCTCATTTAAGGCTATGTTCGGTTTTACTTGATCTAATACGATGTTTTCTATTCTAATCTAATTTTTGAGTTTGACTAAATTTTGATTTTATTGTAAATCAATCATAAAAGTATGTATATAATCATCTAATGAGATGCAACTAAATTTGTATTAATGCGTACTTTTAAATATAAAATTATATGAATTTTTAATTAGGAAATTAAAGATATTTTGTAGCAAGTAAACAAAAATAAAATTTTTAATTATTTTTAAATCAAGCAAATATTTGCTTATATGCTTAAATTAAGCAAATATATGCTAAAAGAGTGAGAGAAGTTTGAGAAACAAAAGTCAATCAAATCAATAATTTTTTTTAAAAAGGAAGTTATCTTTAACTGATACACCAAGTAGCATACTTTGATTACTTTCTTCCAAGTTCTTTCTCCTAGTCCAAAACTCAAAAGGCTAGTATGCTACTCCGTATGAATTATCTATTAAAGGAAAATGATGTAAACAATCCTCAGTTCTTCTTATAAAGAGCAAACAGTGAAATAATGTAAATGAAATACAACATTGAATTGTACTGTTACATTTATTATACTTATTGGTAACAGTAAGGACTACCTATATTTATCGTTACCCCTAATAAGATTGTTATATATACATACGTACAAGTTACAACATAAAATGAAAAGGCCTACAAAAAAAATGGACTTAAAACCCAAATCTAGACTAAAAATTTATATTATTTATTCTATGTCTAAAAGATTTTATGTGAGAACGAAGACTCCTACTCAAAATTACAAGTAGAAAATTTATAAAAGCAGAGTATTAGCTAAGGTTTATAACTTTATATGGAATATGAAACTAACCTTCGGGGAAGCTAATCTTTTTGATGCATCCAACAGTAGTAGAGTCACCCTTAACATACTCAATACTTTTAATAAACTCAGGTACAACCTTAGGCAACAAGTTATGGTTGTCAATGGCGAAAGCATTGAACAACCGAGCCGGTGCAACCGGGCTCGTGAGCTCGGCCATTGTGTATGTGAAGACACCCATAACTTCTTAAAATAGAAAGGATAATATGAATTGAAGGAGGAGATTGTGTTTAAGATAAATTATTAGCTAGTGAAGATGATGAAAGAATGATCAATTGATTTGCTATTTATACTAATAAGAAGAGAGAGTGTTATAAGTAGGAACACATGTTTTACCCTTAGACTTTTGAGGTTGTAGACTAGTAGTAGTAGTAGCATGCACTTGCTGAAATTAGTGACCTTAGATTAGAAATTCTAGATGGTCTTTTGTATCTTTTTGAAATTTTCATTGACGTCACATAAAGTATTTTTATTTTATTTTATTTTTATTTTTTAGTCTTTTATGCATTTATAGAGACGGTTAGGATACTATTATTGACTCAATGAAAATTAAACATGAGCCGTTTTAGCAATCAATGGTTTTCATGGAAAATCATACTCCCAACCTAGTATTATTATTCTATTTGACTATTTGTGACTTTGTTATTTCTATACCAAATGCATGAAAATAGGGCAATATATGAACTGATTTAGCTTGACTCTCGAACCAATGTTGTGTATTTGTATTACATCATTTTAAAATCGGGGAGCATTTCAAACGGGGAGTTTAGAAAGGGGAAAGACGATGAACAGGAAGATCAGGGGTAGCCAAGTCGGATATCAGATCCCATCCAAAATACTAGACATATCATTTGAGTATACTACTATAAAGAATTTATAAATCTATTGTATAATTTAAGAGTTTTTTTTTTTCTAACTTCTAATCACAACACTCTAAAATCCCAATCCTTTACGTTAGTTCATTTTTTTTATCTACTATTTCTTTTCTTTTTGATATACACATACTACAGACATGTTCTCTTTATCTGAAATAAGTAGATCTGGTCTGAATTTTGTAAAGTCTAATCTGTTTGATCTGAATTTTTTGGATATGGTCTGATTTAATTTGATCTGATTTAACAATTTGACTAAACTTTGACCGCATTTTAATACTAATCTATAAAGAAAAACATTATCAAAATGGATCTTGTTAGACCCTCTCCAATGGTGAGACTTGAGTGAGTTTTTTTAAAGAGAGAGAGAATATTTTTTTTTGCAAAGAATATCAATAAGTTGGTATTCAAACTTAGCAACTCTAAAAGAAAGTTACTAAGTTTAGATATTCAACTCTGAGTCTCATTTGAAAAAAAAGTGTGGGCCCTTATCAATATTATAATATGTTTTGTAATTTATTTAAGTTTTAATTTTTTTTTTCTAAAAGAAACTTATAATATGATTTGGTGGGCCATAAATTGAAAGTGACATTAGTATACTTTAGAAAGTCTCACCATTGGAAAATTAGACATCACATGAGTTACTAAATTGAGAAGTGGGTTGGGTATCACAATTGGAGGTAAAAAACAACTCATTTTGTATTTCAATACTCAAATTTGAATCTCACCATTGGAGATGGTCTTAGATTCGTCTCATCGTAAACTTTTTAAATAAGTAATTTTATTAAAAAAAAAATTAATACGCAATTAACGATAATGATAATCAAAAGTTCTGATTTGGTCTGATCTGAATCTTTCTGATCTGGTTTGATCTGATCTGAATTTATTAAGGAATATGTCACGAAATAATTTTTCGTGGTTTTCATTAGAGTATAGCAAGCGTATATATACAACCTAGCAAATAGATTAGGGCTCATGAGATAGGCCCGATAACTATACACTATACACAATAATAGGCCCTAACACCCCCTAGTTGGAGCATGCAAATCACAAATGCCCAACTTGCCAAGTAAATACATGAATTGACTTTTACTCAAAGCCTTGGTGAAAATATCCGCTAATTGGTCCGTTGTCTTCACATAAGACGAACTAATGATACCATCCTGAATCGCATCACAAAGATAATAACAATCCACCTCAATGTGCTTGGTACGCTCATGGAAAACCGGATTCTTCGCAATATACAAAGCAGCACTACTACAAAAAAGGTCAAAGAGACCTGTTATAAGAGGCGTAAGAGACCTGTTTAGAGGAGGTCTCTAGCTCACAGGTCTCTTTGATAAAGAGACCTGTTCAAGTCAACAGGTTTCTTTAATTGAGCCAAAGAGACCTGTTATGTAAGCCAACAGGTCTCTTTGCATGTAATTACCTTTTATATTCATGAAGGGAAAGAGACCAGTTATTGAACATAACAGGTCTCTTTGACGCCATCAAAGAGACCTGCTTTGAAAGACAACAGGTCTCTTTTAACCTATTTTTTTAATAATATAAATTTTGATGATTTATTTATTATTTTATAATTACTGTACTAAAATGGCGAATAAATAGTATAATAAGAATAAATTATATATAAACTTATTATTAAAATTTACAAGTATACAAGAAAATTGTTTACACAATTTACAAGTACTGTATATATGAGCTTATATAAATAATTTACAACCAACCATAACCAACAACTGTCTTATTTTATAAAAAGTGAATCCAACACATTCTTGATAATTTCTTTAGCCCCTTCATCCATCAACTTCCTTGACCGAGTTTCTTGAACTGCTCATCATCCTCCTATACACAATTGAAAACAATTTAAAAACAAGGCTTAATTCTTGTAACAAAAAAACTTAATATCAACAACAAAAAGCCACAACAAGTGATTCAGCAACATGTCTCTTCTGCCTCATCCTCCATAGCTTACTACTTGCATTTTGAACTTATTAATTCCTCGATTGAATTTATCTTTCCCTCGATCGAATTTTTCTTACCACTATTAAACATGGCAGAAACAATATTTTCCCATTTTCACATACAAAAATCCATGAACACTATTTACATGGTGCAAAATAGACTAATACATAAATACCCCCCCCCCCCCCCTTCAACCTCAATTATTCAAAACAATCAAAATACAACCTTTAGATACATAACACTGAACCGAACCTCTTGGCCGTCTAAGTAATCTATATCAAATTAGATTCAATCAAATCAAAATACACCATAATATTACCACTAACAACAATAAAAAAAAATTCTCAAAATATGTAAAAGTTCACCATAAATTCCAATATAAACCACTCGAAAACAACAAAATCAGATAATAAAATATCAAAATACTAAAAAAACATAACCCTCCATTTATAGAAACATATATGAGTTGAGAGAAAAAAGTATAACCTACAATCAAAGTAACGATTCTTAAAGAGAGGCAAAGCGAAAATCTCTCTAATCACATGGTTGTTTACAACCACCAGAGCACTAATAATCGAATGTGCGACAACTTATTAACAACAACCTACAATCTCTTTATTGAACATGCTAATAAATCAAACATCAACCCCCGACACTTGAAAAAAATATAACTTAAGCAGGTTATCACCTTAAACACATGCTTTTTCACCGTGAGTTGATGTCATTAGTAAAAACCTGCAAGCTTTATCACATTCACAAGCTTAACCACAATTTCATGGGACAACTCTCGTTACAATTGCAGGTCAAAGAATAAGGAAATATAAATGATTATAATTGTAATCAACTTAATCCTTACTAAAATTTAATTTAGACTAACTCAATAATCTAATTTCATCCGTTAGAGCTCAAACCCAAAATTTGATCAATCTTATATCAATAATTTACCATTTCAAACCAACTAATCAAAGCCTTTTGGCTAGCCCATTATGCAAAATTCCTTGATATTATCCATGGACCAAAATTTATTAAGATCATGATTTCAAATTCACCACTTAAAAGCCAAATCTAATCAGCTATGATTCCAATTCACCATATTAGTGAGATTACTACTTGGAAGAAATCAACCAAATTTACCAAACCCATTCATAAATAAGAAACAAAATTTGATTAAACCCAATTATTCAAAATTCCAAATTAACAAATTTAACACTTAGAAACTGAAACTAATCAAACCCATTTACAAAAGTCACCAAATTAATGCTAATAAATCAAATCTTTTTCAGACTCATTACTCCAAATTCACCAATTTAGCACTTAAAAAGCAATAAAACATAATCAAACTTTTGTCTAATGTTCACCAATTTACTACTCAATCTAGTGGACATTCTAAAATCAAAATTGTATTAAACCCATTCATTCACGTTCACCAATTTTACCACTTTGAGAACAAATTACGTCAAAATCAACAATGCAATATTCACTGATCCACCATTAATCAAAACTTTAAACCAAAAAAAAGTAAAAAATTGGAGCAAGTTAAAAGAGTAATAATAGTAGCAATTATGCTAATCAATCTAATTAACTGATCAATGTTAATATTATCGAACCTGCATCTCTCTTAAGCTTGAATTGCTTAATTTCTTTGTTGAATTCAGCTTTAAATTATTACGATTTCTTCATCAAACAATCTGCATAATCACAATTGCAATCACAATTCACAATAAACCTCTTCATATCACCATCGGATATATCTCCTACTTTACGATCTTGAACTTACCAACAAAACTGAAATCAAGAACAATTAGATGGATATTTGACAAAAAAAATGAAACCCTAAGAGAGAGAAAGTGGGGAAACCTTTTCAAAGGATATTGCATAGATTCAACAAATGAGAGCCAAGACATGTCCATATCAAAACAACGAGAGTAGATGGTGGTGAGTTGCGCCGAAAGACGACATTGGTCGTGGTCGCAGGTCGCTTCGTACAACAAACACGCAAAAGGAGAAACGATTGAACGAAACACCCATTCATAATCGCTCTATACAACAGAGGTGGGGACGACGACCTTGCAAATAGAACGATAGTGCGTGGAAACACCATGAGAAACAATGGCCTTCAACTATGGTAATGAACCGACCTTGAGAAGTGAGAACAATGGAAATTCAAGGGTTTGGAGCGAAACTACTCTTTTGGGCAGAGAAGTGGGTTTTTATTTGCTTTTTGTTTTTTTTTGAAGCATAAAGTATAGTGTTTATTGCCTTGTATCATACAATGATACTAATATTTTATAATTAAAAAATGATAACACATAAAAGAGACCTGTTAACAACAACAACAGGTCTCTTTGTTTATTTTCCCGCCATCAATACATAAGAGACCTGTTAATACTGAAAACATGTCTCATTAATTAAAGAGACCTGTTAGATTATATAACAGGTCTCTTTTAATAGATTTCTTTGCCCATTTTTGTAGTAGTGCAGATTGATTATCACAAAACAAACTCATAGCACGGGGATGCGAGACACCCAAACTCAGAAGAAGGGCCTTTAACCATTTCAACTCATCAGTTTTTTTTAGACATTGAGCGGAATTCAGCCTCAGAAGAAGACTTGGCCATAGTGTCCTTTTCTTAGTCTTCCAAGATATAGGAGAAGCACCAAGAAACACCAACCAGCCAGAGATAGAACGGCGCGACAAGGGACAACCTGCCCAATCTGAATCACACCAACCTGTAATATGTAAATCACACTCTGAACTCAAAAGGATTCCCTGACCCGGACATCCCTTCAAGTACCGCACTTTACGAAGAGCCGCTCCCCAATGGTCCTGACGCGGGTGTTGCGTAAATTGAGACAAAATATGCACCGCGTATGCCAAATCCGGTCTAGTAAAAGACAAATAAATTAGACGACCCACAAGCCGTTGATACTGCTCTGGATCAGAAAAGAAAGAGGACTCTGATTTCGCCAGAGTATGATTCTGCTCAATAAGAGTACCTACCGGACGAGCACCTAGCAAACCAGACTCTGCAATAATGTCAAGTGTATATTTCCGTTGACATAAAAATATGCCTTCCGGACTACGAGAAACCTCAACACCAAGAAAATACTTCAAAACACCCAAATCTTTCATATGAAAACAGTCACTCAAGTATGACTTGAATGTTGAAATCGCAAAAGAATCATTACCAGAAATTATCAAATCATCAACATACACCAGAACACTAAGTTATATAGACCCAGATTGCAGAGTAAAAAGAGAATAGTCAGAGTACGATTGCACAAATCCTTACCTTTTCAGAGAGGCGGCCAATTTAGAATACCAACAACGAGGTGCTTGTCGAAGACCATACAACGACTTCAGAAGACGACACACCATACCAGGTTGAGAGCCATGAAACCCAGGGGGAAGCTTCATATAAACTTTTTCATCAAGATCACCATGAAGAAATGCATTGTGGACATCCATCTGATACAATTCCCAATTCTTTGCAGCAGCGACAGCAAGAAAAGCACGAATAGTGACCATTTTAGCAACAGGAGCAAAAGTCTCATTGTAATCAATACCCTCAACCTGATGATTACCAAAGATAACAAGACGAGCCTTCAATCTCTCGAGTGTGCCGTCAGAATTAAGTTTGACCTTGTAAACCCATCGACACCCAAGAGCTTTCTTACCCGGAGGCAAATTTTCCATTACCATGTGCCATTTTTTTCTAATGCATCAATTTTTGTTTGCATAGCCGCTTTCCACCCCTCATCTTGCATTGCCTCCTTGAAATTACCAGGCTCAACTACCGTATCAACAGCTGCAATAAAAACACAGTGTTGCACAGAAAATTTATCACAATTCACAAAATGTGCTAAGGGGTAAGGAGTACCTGAGGAGGGAGTAGGCGATGAACATTGCGAGATAGATGGACTAGGTAGAGATATAGTGTGTGCAACATAATCCCGGTGCCACCCCAGGGGTTGCCTTGGACGTTGAGCATGGTCCAACACAATAGGAGAAGTAGAAGAGGGATCCAGAACAACCACATCAAGGCTGCCTGTACCAGTGGCCGAGGAGGCAGCAGTGGGGGCAGGGGACACCACGGGACTGCTGTGGTCATGGGTAGCAGCCTCAGGTGACCCGTGGGGGATAGAAGCAGTAGCACGGGGTTGTGAAGAGTTTTTCAGGCACAAGAGAACCCTCACCAACCTCAAATACATATTCCAAATCATCAAGAAAATTGTGATCAACACCAACATAGTCATTAGGCACACTCTCGACACCCACAGTAGAAGAAACCGAATCACCATCTTTCACAAACGGGAATTCATTCTCATGGAATTTAACATCACGGGAAACAAAAATATCACCGGTTTCCAAATCATAAAACTTCCAACCCTTCTTGCCATGAGGATAACCCACAAACACACACTTCCTATTGCAAATTTGTCACCCTTAGCTTTTTGGTTATGAGCAAAACAAAGACAATCAAACACCCTCAAAGCATCAAAATCGTGTTCTTTGTCAAAGAGAATTTCATATGGGGTTTTATTGGCTAGCAAAGTAGAAAGAGTACGATTAATCAAATAAACCGCCCCAAGGACACACTCACCCCAAAAAGCAATCGACAAATTGCCTTGAAATATCAAAGCACAATTCAATATATGTTGGTGTTTACACTCTACCCGACCATTATTTTGTTGAGGTGTTCCAACACAAGAGGTTTGGAAAAGAATGCCATCTTCGGTAAAATATGGGATCATGGGTTTAAATTCTGTGCCATTGTCACTCCGCACACACTTAACATTGACATCAAATTGACACTTAACCATAGCAAAGAAAGAGCAAAAAGAACTTCGGTTTTGTCATTCAATAAATAAAGCCAAACGCCACGTGAAAAATCATTAACAATCGTCAAGAAATAATGAGCACCACAAGTAGAAGTCGTGTTAGATGGTCCCCACAAATCACAATGTATCATTTCAAGAATACGACTAGCACAACTATCACTATCAGAACTGGCTCGGGTCTGTTTAGAAAATTAAAAGGACAAATTTCACAAGATTTATGTAAACACTTAGTACCAGTAGTACCTCGAATAGCAGGAAGCAATTTGACAATTTTTCCGATGGGTGCCCCAAACGACGATGCCACAACTCAAATGTAGAAATCTCCGGACCCGGGAGTGCACATACTTTTGGGAGACGCCGGAAATAATATAGTCCATCTATCCATTCACCACCTCCAATTAAGCTCCCCGAGGATTGATCCAGTACAACACAAAGAGAATTAGTGAATCGGACAAAGCAATTAGAATCATCAATCAACTTAGATACCGAAATCAAATTGCAATTTAATTGCGGAACAAATAGAACATTTTCAAGAGTAATGCCATCCTCCAAGACAACACGACCCTCCTTAGTAGCCAAGGCCTTAGCACCATCGGGAAGACCAACGGGATAGGGGATAATTGATTGAACGTCTTGTAGAGAATACTCATCGCCGGTAACATGATGAGATGCACCCGTGTCTATGATCCAAGACAAAGAAGTAGGAGCAGCGGATGTAAGCAGAACAATAGCAGCAGCGGCTTGAGTAGGGAGAGAAGGGGCAACTGTGGCAGTAGAGGCCACGGGCTGCCTGTGGCTGGCAGGGGTTGCCACGGACTGCCTGTGGATGTCCTCTACAACACGAGTTATCACAGCTGCAGTAGAGCAGTAGCGTAGGGGCAGAGTAGCAGCGGCAGATGGGGCAGTAGCAGGTAGAACATTAGGAGGTAGAGCAGTAGGATCAGCAGCACCGGTCTCCGATGGAGAAGCAGCCGAGCGGCCATATTTGTTCAGCCACCATTCGGGTAGGCCATGAACAAGAAAACATCGACCGTAATCGTGACCCGTACGATGACAATGAGTGCAATACAAAATCGGCTTGCATTGTTGCTTATGTAGAGAATTGGTGGGCAATTCATCAGTGTATGCGGTAGTAAGAGAAGAAGACACCGAATTGTTGTCAATCACCATTATTGAACAAGAAGAAGTAGTATAGAAGAATGAGAAGCTACACACACCACAACAACGCAACCAAAGAAATAAACCCAAAATGCAATGTAGAACAGCAGATAGAAATCGAATTGGGAAAAACCCAAAATTTCATAAATTGATTGGGGAACAACCTGATTGATCGATCAAATTGATTGGAAAAAGAAAAATTTCAGAAATTAATTGTAGAGATTATAATAGAAATTAATTTAGGGATTAGAGTTTAGAAAATAGAAATTGATTTTGGATTAGAATGATTTTGGCTCCGATACCATGTCACGAAATAATTTTCCGTGGTTTTCATTAGAATATAGCAAGCGTATATATACAACCTAACAAATAGATTAGGGTTCATGAGATAGGCCCGATAACTATACACTATACACAATAATAGGCCCTAACAGAATAAGTAATAAGTATCTGAAATAAGTTGAAGAGAACAACATTGTCTATATATAATCAGTGCATTAGCACAAATACACTCTAGTACATAAAATTACTGACAACAGTATATAGATACAACTAGCTCATCTACCTAAATTGTCATGACCGATTCTCTCCAAGAAATAAAACTGATCACTAATTTGTTTATAATCTAATACTCCCTCCGCCGATTCAAAAAAAAAAACAGAAAAAAGAAAGAAAATAATTCTTTGTTCCTATTTTTTCGTAGTCTAATATCATAGCAATAGATTCAAAGTGAATTGTGTGAATAGTGATACGTATTCAATTATCGCATATTTTTCAGGAGACACGATTTGATGTCTACACATTTAGATTGGGTTAATTCGAGTCGGATGTATAAAACTTATTTGGGTTAATTTTGGATTCAAACTGGTACAACTTGGTCATTTTTGGCTTTATTGCCAATGTGCGGAGAAAAAAATATAAAATCATTATTACAAACATTGAACATCGAGGTAGTTCAGTTCAAGTGAAGTGATTTCAGAGATAGAGTTTAGCTTTAGAGTCGGATATTTTGTTTTTCAACCGATATACTACCTCCGTTACAGGTTATGTGTAACGATTAAACATTTTCCCTCTCTGCTTTATGTCAAATCGTTGCACATAACCTGTAACGGAGGTAGTACTTATATTGTATACTCCATATAATCATTGTTAAATACTGATTATTATTTGGCCAGTTTGGTTCAAAACGGGTCAGTTTAGATAAGGTTTATTGGGAAAATTTGCCAATTATAGCCATTTAAAGTTTATACTTTGCAAATTGTAGTCCAAAAGTACTAAATATTTGTTAATTGCTACCTAATCTATTTTCCCTCGATTTGCGTGTAGGAAAATGTTCGGTAAGGTTTCAGAGATCATTTTAGTTTTAAAGGAACTAAATTGAGCTCAGAATTGGCAAAAAAATAACGTAAGTGTCTCGTTTTTGCGGCAAAAATATAGTTGCGCACAAAACAATACATTTTTTTGTATGCAAAACGAGACACTTATGTTAATTATTTTCCGATTCCGTGCTTAATGTGGATTCTTAAGGGGTAAAATGACCACTCTAAAACCTAAATGGAACATTTTTTTAACACGTAAATCGAGAAAAAAATTAGATTAGATGATAATTAACAAGTTGTTTGTAGTACTTTTGGGCTGCAATTTGCAACTTTCTTTTTTATTAAATGACTACAATTGACAAATTTTCCGATTAATTAATTTCAAGTAAAACTTAAATCTAAAATCGAATACTCCCTCCGTCCCTTTATTTTGCCTTATTGCAACTTTTTGAGTCAAACTTTAAAAACTTTGACTATAATTTACCGTTAATCTATAAAAGATAATATAGTCATGAGTGGTCTTGTTAGATTCGTCTCATTGTATATTTTATTAATATCATGTTTTTATAATTTTTACGTTTATGAAAATAAAGATATAAACGTTTTAATACACGTGTTGAAGACCGCGCACAGTCAACAGAAGGAGTATTCCGTATCACGGATCGGGTAATTTATGGGTCAGTTTTGCCTAGTCGAATCGTGATACACATGGGCCGACTTTTTTTTTAAACAAAGATGTCCAATCCATTTTTCTGGTAATATTCACTCCATAATTGGCGGGTCGAACACTTGAAGGTAACTAGGTAAGACAATCCTTTGTCTTTGTCTCACTTTCAATTCTCTCGGTCTTTCTCTCTTTTTCTCAAGAAGCACTACAAACTGCAATTTCTAAATTCTTGCCACATTACCAAAATTTCCCCCAATTTCATCAAAAACTTTAACCTTTTAGAGTTCTTAAACAATACCCAATTCACAATTTTGCCAAATTGTTTCACCTTTCTTCTGAATTATTCGAATCCATTACTTAATATTGGTTAGTTATTATTATTCCTAATTTGATATTCTTTGATAATTTCATCAGCATATCTATTCCTTACTTTGCTTTCAATTTTACTTAATTCCCAATAATTTTCTGATTAGGTTTTCTAATTTCCTTTCCCCGAAATTTAATTTTGTATTTTTTCTTTCTTCTTGTAGATGTTGTTCAATTATCTTTCATTTGTATAGCTCCTTTAAATTTATATTTTGGATGGGATGAATTGTGTGTGATTGATGATTTATGTTTGTAGTATTTTGGTGAGTTCATTCTGATAATCTAGGCGTGTATTTATTTGTTTGGTGTTGAAAATTATGATGATTGAATAAATTGTACTCCATTTATCAACTTAAGCATTGTAGGTATCCTTAAGATTTTGAAATTTTGTTTAGGCTATGTCATTTTAGCTGTCTACTCATTCTAGTAAATCAACACATTGACATTGGATGAATTTGGAATACAAATCAACACTTGCCTACGAAATATTAGCAATTTTCGCGCTTTTTAGTCTGTTAGCTAGCTGAGCTCAGTGATGAATTCTTGTTTCTGAGCAAAATGCTTTTGAACAATTTTCTTGTGTAAACTTGGTGTGTTTCCAAAGGCCAGCCTTTTTAAAATAATCTTAAGAATTTAATCTATTTAATGTTATTTGTTTTCTGTGAATAAGCAGATGTTTTGTTGATTTAGATGAAGTTTTCTTCTTACATGTGTTCATTTTTTGTCCATGCGTGTGGCAGTTGATGCTGAAGAATATGACATCTCCATCAGGGATGAGGGTTTTATATGACAATCAGAATTTGAGTTCTTGATTTTGGGCACGGTGCTCGCAAAAACACTTCCCATTATGGATTCTGAATCTGAGGTGTTGCTATCCTATTTTTCATGCTGTGAATTGACTTCTTGAGTGTGCTTGTGGGGAAAGTGAGTTAGAAATTTTCTACCATTGTCGATGGAGGATTCCTTGGGTGCTCCTGATAATAATAGAAAGGGGCTCAAGCGTATTGTGGTTTATGGAAAAACTCCACCCTTAAAATGTTTGGTTGCGTCCATCCCAAAGAACTCAATGAAAGCTTTGCAACGTATTGTTAATGTGGAAAAAAATATATTGGGCAAGGCCACTTTCACTGAAGCTGGACTTTTCCTCCTGAAAGTTGCAATTCTGGAGGCAGTGAGGAGGTTTTCTCAGGCTCACTATCCGTTCTTGTGGCGCAGTCTTCAGGCTTTGCAATTTCTTTGTTTACCCCCACTTAAGTGGATTCAGAAGTGGGGATTATTTAGGGGTTTGGTTAAGTCCATGCAGGTTGGTCCACTACTCTTTAGGCATATGTGTGTATTGTACTTAATGGTGTGATTTATTTTATAAAATCATATACGATACAATCTTAGGTTTCTATACATAATTGGAAACTCCTGAGAGCTTCGATATAGAAAAGGGTTTGATGGTTGAAGTTAAAGGAGGCTTTCTGTCTTTGCATCTTTAATTAGTACAATACGATATCAGGTGCATCAAAAGGATTTATTGTCACATTGGTGGCATTCTTGCATATTTGCTTATTTATATTTTCTGCTATTCTTAAACAACAGTTCTTTTGACGGAGATAACTTTGAATTTTTGGGCTGTTGGCATTGGTCATTCTTGCAATCAGTCTCGCAGTATGAGAAATAGGCTAAAAAGAACAAAAAAAAAAAAAAAAATCTTCAAGAAAACCAAGGAACTTAAAAAGAGAAAAAGGGAGAAATAAGACAAAGGGATGACCGGATGAGTCTGTTTAAAAAGTCTTTTTAGGCTCACACAGTTTAATTGAAGAACTTTGAATGGTAAACTGAATGTTGAAAAAATTCCTTAGTGCTTGTACCAACACATCCCCAAGCATGAACCCATATGCTGAAGAGAAATTATTTAATGGCTTTTGTAGGGGAGTAACTCATAGTGAGCAAATTGAACAATGTTTGTTTATCTCTTGTAAGGTGAAAGCTTTTCCCTTGGGATGCTGATTTTTACTTGTTTTTACAGAAAGTTGCTAATTATTAGTTATTCTTGCATATAGGTGTGATTTGATTTTCTTTGTTTTGATTTATTTTTCTACAATCATGTTGTTTTGTGATAGGCTTTATCGAGACCACTTTTACTTCTCTCAGTTGCGACACCCTTCTCTAATCAATCAGACAATGTTGAAGAAGATCCAGGAAATTCAGAATCTTCAGATGCTTTTCAGCCAAGGACTGATCCACAACCTGATTCCTTGACCAATGTAGCATCAGATTCAAGGTGATCAATGTTGCAAATTTTCGGATATCATTCGGATGTGTATCTACTTTTGACTTTCATCATACTTATATTCTATTTAGCTCTCAAAGGGTTACTTCTCCATCCCATGATTTTCCATCACTATCTTCTCTCTTTCACATTTTGGAGTCGTCCCAAAATTATCTTTACACTTTCCATTTTACACTCATCACCTTCTTTGTTTTGTTTATGATATCTGACAGCAGAGTAATTGAAATTCAAGCCCCGGAGAAATGGATGTTGCAACTTTTTGCTGAGCTAGAAAAGGAGGGAATTGTTCTGCCAGAGAGGTGATTACATTTCATTTATGATATTTTTATGGTTTTGTAGCTGTTCCTACTATCAATTTAGTGCCTAGGCTTCAAAGAGAAATCTTTTATACAGCATCTTACTTTCTTTCTTTCTTTCTTGCTTTCCTGCTCAATTATTTGAGTTTAGTGGTATTAAAACAACTTGCTTATAGTCATGAAATAAATTGATTCTGTACTAATAAATATGGCTTTCCTATAAATGGCCGTGCATATGGGGTTCTGCTTTAACCTGAACCATGGTGCAAGGCTAAAAGATCGCCATGTTATCATGACTACTGTAACCTTCAACCTCCATTACCCTCAAAACTGAAAGACCATTGATTGCCAAAATTTTCCATTTTGGCTGACGTGCATATTCAATCCTGTTGCTGCTGTGGCTGTGTTTCTATTTGTTTTTTAAGGTGGCTTAGAGATGACAAAACATGTTAAGAAAAAGTACATATAGATAAGTTCAGAATATTTAAGTTTTTAAAAAAATTTCATATTAATTCAAATATATCATGTAAATTCAGGTAAAGTAAGTTCAGACAAAATAATGTAAGTTTAAATAAGTTCAGACAAAGAGTGAGAGATAGCTCAAGTGGTTAGAGCTTCCCTCCCGGTTTCAGGAGATCCTGGGATCGATTCTCACCCCCACCCTTGTGGCTCTCTAAACACCAAAAAAAAAAAAAAGTTCAGACAATATAATATAAATTTAAACAAACTCAGATGAACCAAATTACCAAACGGTGCTTTAGTATGTTAACTATGATATGCCATTTTCAGGAAAATGTTGGAGAAAGAATAAGTCATTGGCAAAAGTTTACCTCAAGAGAAGTGTTTATTTATTTTATTTATTTTTCTCTCTCATAAAAGATCTGCTTAAACCCAAATTGAGTAGGGAAAGCATTGTCGTAGAATTGTAATGTATAAATTGAGATAATATGGTTGACGAGCTTGTGGTTGCAAGACTTGCAACTGTGCTGCATGTTCTGCCATACAAAGTAATCCCTCCGTCCTCAAATAATCTTCATTTTAGGTTTGGACACACACATTTAGGAGTTTGGTAGGATGGGCTGAGAGTGTGAAAGAAATAAATTTAGCGAAGGAGTCCTTTTCACATGTTTGAGTGGGAAAATTTTCCATTTTAGGTAACAAGGAAGATTTTTATAAAAATGTTGATGTAACCTTTCTGCAGGATTACTGAGGATGACCTTCGTAGATTATATCATGTTGCGAAAGGTGATTTCTCAAGATTCTTATCTTCGGTCAAAAGAACAATCAGCTGGAGGCAAAATTATAGGTTTATGTCGGTGCAAGAGCTTGAAGAATCGTCGGAGATGGTGTTTTGGCATGGATATGATATTAAGAGACACCCTTGCTTGATTGTTCGTGTTCAAGCTGCATGCTCTTTTATGATGTCTGGGGAAAGATATCGCTTGCCTGAAGTACTTGGTATGAATATAAAACATAGTAATGCTTGTTATTGTGTAGCGCAATATATTTTTCCTTTCTTGATTGACAACAGGCTCTCAGAGTTTCTTCAAAGTTGAGAATAGTTGGTTTGAACTTAAAACATATATTGTACTCCACATATATTTGTATGACACTGACAAATTTGAGTTGCTTTTGTTTTTGTCTGATACTTTGATTTTATTCCATTATGTGCTTATTTATACTCCATTAAAAAAAACACATATCAAGGTAGTTCTATATCCCACAAAATGGAGGAAGTTGTTTATCTAGTCCACCTTGTAACAGAACTTCGGTACTTCCATGATCAACCAATTAATGTTATTCATTTTAGAACTACGTGTAAAATAAATGGAGGAGAGAATTGTGAGGAGAGAGGAGGTGGGGGTGGGCTCGGCTGTAGCCTCTAGTTTTAGCTCAGATTATATGGTAATATAAGAAAGGGGCAACTTTTTTGTTAGATGAAGTAAGGTTAAGTGGTTAACATTTTCCCTGTTTCCCTTGATTATAAAAAGATACCATGATTGGTCAATTTTTAGTTCCTCCATTTACTTTCTTTTTCCAATTTGATTTCAGCATTGTACTATTTACTCTTCTTTTTAATATGCTTCTCCTATACGGGCAATACCTTTAATGCTGCGATACTAAAAACAAACTGTACTGTCTGTTTATTTTATTTTTTATTTTTATAGTGACATGCTCTTCCTGCGTGTCCAACTTAGTGACAGTGCCTTAGCGTCTTTGAGGTATAGAATTACTGTATAGGATCTTGATACACAGCTGTATTTAATACCCATGTCTAGCCTAGAAGAAGTGGTTGCAAGACTTGCAACTTAAAACATTCTTTTGACTTTCACATGTTGCTTTTATTTTTCATTAGATATTATTTCTTGTAGCTAGTTGGCCTAGAATAACTCAAGCAAAATCCTATGGCAATAACGTGTGATTGGAAATTCATTTTAGTACATCCCAAACTGTTCAAAATTGACATGGGGCAAAGTCAATTTCCTAGGGCACATTAAGGGATAAACAATAGGCCGACACCATGCAAATAGCATGGGACATTTGGAATATATACTATCAGCACTGCAATTTTCTTTTCTTTTTTTTTTTCTTTTTTTTTTTTTAACTTTGATTGCTTACTTTTTCTTCTTGATTAGTTTCTCAGATAGAGTATGGGATTCTCCACCTAGTTCATGCAGAAGATCCTGTACTCACAGTACTGATGGACTGTGACGGATTAAGTCCATTTGGTTTCCCTATACACATGATGAGATCCTGTGCTATGCTTTTGCAAGACCATTATCCAAATCGGCTTGCTGCTTTATTTGTTGTTCGACTGCCTCCCATCGCTCGTGTGATTGCACAAACACTTTTTCAAGTAAGCTTTTCTGATGTTATTCATGCCATTATCTCTTCCTATGCTTTATGTATGGTTTCCAGTGTCATTATTACATTATACACTTGTCAGATTATTATAACCATACACTTATCAGATTATTATAATCTGAACTTCTGAAGTATGGGTATCTGCTATTTGTACTGTAAAGAGACAGTCATTACAATCAGTGGCAAGGAAGGGATATGTCTAAACCTTTATGCCAACTATCTATTGCATCAATTAACTTTGCAAGTATGCACATATTCATACAAAATATTTAGGATTTCCAGGGATTCAGTGTTTATATGTTTTAGTGTGGGACAACAGGTATGATGATTTTGCTACTGCTCCTTCTTCTGAATTCCACTGCTCTTATATGAGGATTGGGATGTAGAAGGCCAACACGGCCTATATCTCAATGAGACCTTAAAAGACAGATAAAAGGACTCATCTTGGTTATTGTTATAGGAAAAATAAGCTATGCGTTAATGCGTTATGAAGTTTTACTCAAAATCTTATTTTACCAATACATATGTAAAATACAAAGATTGAGACTTTAATTAGTTACTAGGCCACACTATGTAATTTGAATTTGGAATGGTTAAAAGTGTGATCACCTGAGAAATGGGGCATACACGACAGATTCTCCTTTCTGTTTTCAGAAAGTGAGCATTTACCTATGTACTGTTGTAAATATTAGTGTCATTGATTTATGAAAATACTATTTCGATCAAGGATTTTTCACTTTGACTGATTGCAAGAGTTAGATTGCATATGCCCCTTAGATGGGGGAGGACTGTAGCATTTGGGTTAAATTATTGACAACTATGGCCTGTTAATGAAAAAGTAAAAAGTGGATAACTTTTGAGTTTGGTCTCAGTGGATTACCTTTGAGTTGTAATCGAACAATTTCAGCTTCAATTTCTTTTCATTCAGAAGGAAATCAAATTCTATCTGCAGTTGAGTTAATAACTCTACTGTTTTGTGCTGTTACCTGGTGTTGAGACCAGGAACAAGGCGGAAAATTCGAATTTTGGGGGAGGACTACCAAAAGGTTTTGTCAGAGTATCTTCAGGTGCTTCCTTCATTCCTGGGCGGTGACTGCTCGTGCCCAAGATGCTCAAACTCTATTGGTAAAGAGAGTAATGCTGTTGGACCAGTTATAGGATATGAGGCTGAGAATGTTTCATCCCATCCTGCTTACCGTGCTGATGACTTCAAATTTATTAAATGTGATAAGGTATTGAAAAGCATCATTATCGGCCTTCTCCTTCTGCTGCTATACATTGTTTTGACTGTTCGGTTTCATAGCCTGGAAGGCCTTAATTTGTACAAAAGAGTTGGTTGGTAGCCTGTAAAATCTTCACCTGTTTTTGACGATTTCTTGATGAACAGAAGTTATATCTTTCGTGTATAGAAATTGTATACAGTGGAAGAAGTCGGAAATAAAAATGTTCCAGATTGGATGGTATAGTTGCTTCCAAAATAAAGGCATGCAGGTTTCAGGCCACACTTATGTTTAATTTTTTGGCTTCTTTTGAAATAGTTCACTTGTTTCAGTATACTTTTGAATATGCGAATTTGAATATGCGAATTTCAATCTAGTCTCAAAAGGATAGTATATGCTTTCGCAATGATGAATATTCTCAGCTGCTGCATTATGTATTTATGTGTCTTATAAATTGTAGGAAGATTTAATGGGATTTTTCCAATTTCAAATTATTTCATAAATGGCTTCAAAAAAAAAAAATCGTAAATAATACCAAAAAAAATTATCCTTCTCCCAAGTTTTTCCAGATACATTTCTGGTAGATTCACTCCAATTATTCACTTGAAATAATGCTAAGAAAAAATCTTATAAAATAGGCAAGACTATTTACTTATATTTTTACTCTCTAATTATGCTATATATTTGTATTTAACATGTTTATACATCGGTGTACATTTTTTTAGAGGAAAAAACATTTAAACTGCGATGGAAGGTTTTGGTGGCCAACCATAAATTTACAGTTTTGATTGGAAACTCAGAGAGAGAAGATCAAAACAATTGAGATCACAGCTTTATGTATTTGATTTGCAATAATTTGCTGTGAAAGTGTGAAAGTGTTCAACAACACATTCAATAATTTGGCTTCATGTATTAAAAGGCATAACAGGTCAGGAAGGATATGCCATCTTTTTATCTATCAAAACTGTCTTCAGCCAAAGGTTACATGACAGTGTATGCATTATACGAACCCAAACTGTATTAAAAATCATCTACAACCTATCAAATATAGATTTTGTTAAGTGCCTCCATAAACACTGTATATCTTCAATTGCCTTCATATCTGGGATCGGCCATTACATAATGGTAAGCGATGACAAGCATGAACAAGCTGATTCCAAGTGAATTGGCCAAAAATCCAAGCATCTGATCGTCAAACATCTGCAATAAGACCAAAGAAGGAATTCAGTCGTGATCATGTCTAACCAAAATTTAGCATGGTAGCTACCATGAATAATATTTATTTAGCAGATACTGAGTAAGTACGCACTTGAAAAATGTAATCCTACATGATAACAAAGGTATGCTAATATGCATAATACTTGTTTCTCAACAAAGTATGCACATAGTTCTCACATTCTCCCCTGGTCTAACAGGAAGTAGCCATCAATTACGGAATGAACAGATGAAAGCAAAACCATGAAGGGTGACCCTTCATTATTACACATCTTTTGGATCCATATGCATCAAACAAAAATTCTTAAACCACACTGCAGTGCCAAAGAAAGAGCCAAGTAGGCCAGTTTTTGTTACATATTGCAGAATATATTAAATTGTCATTTCTTAAACAGTGACAAGGATCCTTTGATAAGCTACTGCCTGCTCACTGGTCATTTCATAAAATCTTACGTCAAGTGTTCATATAAGTCAAAACATGCAAACGGGTTTGACACCAGAATTCTCATATACAATGGAATAAGCCTAGAGTTTCAGTCTACAGAAAACAAGTTAGCACCTCGTAGTAAAAATTTGGACCTTTTACCTCAAATGTGAAATACTAAACCTTGTGTTGGCCTCAATGAAAAGTTACTGATTTCAGGAGTCATATTTTAATAGTTCAAATTATCTACTTGAGACTACAAAATAGTCCTGTATCAGTGTGAGCCAACTCAAACAGCTAATCCTATATCACAATAACAGGACCAGCAACATCCTATACTCTGGTTCATCATAACATAACACCACAAAATAAATAGATTTTTGGTCCTCAACCTCCAGCCTAGGGTTCAAACCAAAGATCAAATGAGAATACCCATGATGTATAGCCTCTTTGTGAGCATGGACTACAGAAAGATGTGACACAGGTCTATATCTCCGGTTCTAAACTTTGCAATACTTTGCCAAACACATGAATGATATCTAATAGCCCACTTGAAACATTACCAATAAAATCCAATGTTAAACCCCACTTAGAGTCTCAATTTCAGACCACCCTAAAACACTTAGCATAAGCCAGTCTAATTAGCTACATCATGTATACACTCAGCATAATTATAAACTTATTCTACTTACACATTAAGCATGTGGAGTAGCCTCAAGCCCTCAACGCAACTTACACAACCAATTCACTCATGTTACCTAACAGCAATCTCAATACCTATGTTTAAGAACAAAATCTAGCGCGCACACTCCAAAGTCAACCGAACAAATTCAAATCTGTCACACTAGACAGCCGACTTAACAGTCAAAACGACATCCATACTCAATCCTTTAAAAATGCACCAGCAGCATAACTCCATATTAAATAGATAATGCCTTAAACTATATCACATCTTATACTGCTTATTAAACTAAACACCCTACTGAATAAATTTACCAATCTACTGTTGTCCTCCATCCTACACAAAACCCACAAAAAAACCGCAAACAATTAACTTTCAGTTGTACTATCATATCAAAAAAATGAAAAAAGAAAGGCGATCGCAGTGGGATTCGAACCCACGACCTTTAGATTCGGAGTCTAATGCGATATCCACTCCGCTATGCGATCCCTGCAATTTATTAACATCTTACTCAATTTCAATTCTCTTATATCTTATTTCCCCAAATTCACATCATCAATTTCTGCACAACCAGACAAACCCAGAAAAAATTGAAAAACTGCAATTGAAAGCGACAATTTTTCTTAACCTACATTTAAATCAACAAAAACCCATCTTCAATAATTCCAAAACTAAATTAATTAACATTAAAAAACAACAAACAAATCGAAATTCATGCATTGAAAAAATTCAGATCGAAAATGAAATGAAACAATAAAGATGCAAAAATGTAAATAGAAGGGATTGATCGATGTCCATTATACAATCACATATACCCAAGTCTAAATTAGTGGCTTAGTTTTTCATTTCGAGCTAATTTAAAAATAAATAATCATAGTGAGGTACATGCGAATGTATAATAGAATTCGGTTTAAATATTGATCATACCTTAGATTGTGGAATGTAATGAAGGTGAATCTACGAACCAAAATTAGAAGTTTAAGGAGGAGGAGGAACCAAAATTAGAAGTTTAAGGAGGAGGAGGAGAGTGATAGAGAGAGTGAAGACTAATTTCTGGGGTTTTTGAAGTTGACAAAGTGTCAACGATGGATTTATATATAAAAAATAAATAAATAAATAAATAAATTATTAAAAAAAAAAAAAAAAAAAGGATGCTGGGATTCGAGCCCAGGTCTCCTCGGCCACAACGTGGAATTCTAACCACTAAACTACAGCCACAACTGTTGTTAAGAATTGTGAAATTTTTTTTAATGTTGTTTGTTTATTTTTCCTTTGTAATTTTTTTTAGTACCTCTATTTCGTACTTCCTCCGTTTTCTTTTACTTGCAACACACCTTTTAAGTACGCAGTTTTAGGAGATGATTAGTGAGGGTAAACGAGCGATTTTATCAATATAATTTTTACACGAAAATTAGAATAGGGTTAAGAATCATTTGTAAAAATTATAATGAAAAATTTGTCCGTTTACATTACATAAACCCGACCTCAAACCACGTGCCACAAAGCTGTGTTGCAAGTAAAAGAAAACGGAGGAAGTATTTTTTTGCAACTTTTGCCAAAAATGGATGCAACACATTATTTTTCAACTAATGTTTTCATTTCTTTCTAGGCTGTCATTTCTCTATATCTCTCTCCTCATCACATGCATAATGCATTCCTATTTTTCTCTCTCTATCTTACACTCACAAACAAAATTGCCTAAAAGTCCGTGCACCCTTTAAAGTTGTAAGAAATGTGAAACAGAGGTAGTAGCACACTCAGTATTTAATTGCTATTGGTAAAAAAAAAAAGTTAATCATCAAACAATATAACATCATCAATTATCATATACTCCCTCCGTTTTTAAATACTTGCTCCATTTCTCCATGCACGGAGTTTTAGGCGAAATTGGAGAAAGTAATAAAATTTGGAGGTAGTGGGGTAGTTTGGAGAATAAAAATTGTAAAAAACAAAAGTAGTGGAAGAATTTGAGGAGAGAGAGTATTATGTTGGGACCACTAGGTGTGAGAAATGAATTAAATATTGTAAAAGGTTTCCAAAAAAGGAAATAAAGCAAGTATTTAAAAACGGTCGAAAATGAAAAGTGGAGCAAGTATTTAAAAATGGAGGGAGTAACATTCAGTCATTAACTAAATACTAACAAAATATTATTCCTTAAAAAAAATATGCATAAATATGAACAAAATTAAAGTGGATGATACCATTAAAAAAAAGTTTAAAATAGTAAGAGATTGTCAAAAAGTGGGTAGCTATAAGTAAAAAAATAAAATTAAATAAAATAAAAATAAAATTAAGATAAAATTTAAAATAAAATTTAAAAAAAAAAAGTAAGGTGAAAATTGGGTATTTGGATGAGTAGGTGGGTGTCCAAGTGAGTGGATAAGAGGCGAGTATGATTTTAAATCCACCACCTACCTAATATTTGTGGCGAAAATGACTTTTTGATATCCGTACTCCCACTATCCACCAAAATCATGTCCGTACCCTCTCTAACTTAGGTGAGTATGATGTGAATTCTATAATAATGTACCTACATGCTATCTCTGTTGTCTACCCATTGTTTTGGTTCTAGACCTATCTTACTCTAATAACTTTAAATCAGGCTGGTGTCATTCTACAGGTTTTCAACACTCTATTACATTCATCCACTTCATAGTTTCTACCAAACAACCCATTTATTTATATTAATACCTCCATTTCTTATTATGTGTAACAAAAAGGTATTATTTGTGAAACTTAAAATATTCCTTTGTTGCACTTAACAAGAAATAGAGGTAATAATTTACTCCATAATGCATTTGATAATGTTGTACGATTACAATGGAGAAGTTCTTGAGAGCATGTAAAAGATCCTATTATGCCCTTAAGGTTTTCACAACCAATAAAAAAAATGCGATATTCAATTGGTGGGAAACAAACAAAAATCAAAGGGAAAGAAAAGTACGGAGTAATAAAGAAAAAGAAAAAGGGAAAATCATTTAATTAATATACAAATTATTTATTTAAATACTACACACATTTATAAATAGGGAGGAATTAAGGCATATTTGATAAATAAATGGATGGAATATACAAAATTAAATGGAAGGCTTTTTTATGTAACAATAGTTGCTTGTTATTGTAGATTACTCATCCTTTGCTTAAATCAACAAGATTGGCATGCAAGTCATACAAAAACTAACTTTCTATTCTTCTTCACCATTTTATTCCTTTCACATGACCTATAAATACCTAATTCTTCCTTAACACCAAACTCAAATTTCTTCTTCCATTAATTTCACCCATTTCATCACAACCCAGGCCTAATAATCAACCATGCCTTTGATTAACAGGCCTCGGGTTGTGATCGATGGAGTTAGAAGAACACGAACCTATCGTTTCTTCTGGTGTAGTCACTGTGATCGAACAGTTAGGATTGCATCAGCTTCTCCCAACCCCCTACACAATTTCTTATGCCCACTTTGCTATAACCTTGTATGCCAGGAAATCGACGTTTCAAGGAATTCTAATCTATCATCATTTAGAGCAGGATCCTCTGCCACTTCTGCATCAGCTGCTCAATTATTAGACACAATGGCTCAGATCATTAATCTGTCTTCTCCTCGTCGTCTGACTCTGAGGCCACAATTCACCACCCACATATCCTCTTCGCGACCATTACCAAGGCCTGTATCACCACAAGAAAATGCACTGTCATGGATAGCAGAACAAGAGCCGCCTGATCAGATGCCTCAGAATCAAACTGCAGAGAACAATACTACTTCGTGTATGACAGACGTCAGAGCAACAGCTGATGCATTGTGCAGTGACTCAGAATGTCCAATTTGCAAAGAAGACTTTGTTATGAACCAAGAAATAAGAAAATTGGCCTGCAACCATTTCTACCATTCCGATTGTATTATGTCTTGGCTTCAAATTAACAATACGTGTCCTGTATGTCGTTACCAGCTCCCATTACAGCAAGGTTCGAGTAATAAAAATAACAGCGTCAGAAATAATTTTCAAGCTGCAGATTATGGGCATAATGTTGATGATAGTGATGATGATTATGATCTTCATTTAGAGGATATTGTGAGCTTGAGCTGGCCAAGTTGGGCTGAGTTGATCTCCTTGTTACGACCCTTTCGATTTAGCTCGTTTCTTGATTGGTCCTAGCCAGGCTAATTCTGATTACTACTCCCTGAAGAACACTGCTCCCTGAAAATTAGAACTGTTAAATTAGCTCTGTAAGTTTACTATGATTCTAATCTGATTGTTATTCAGTATATACTATGTAACCTTAGTCTCATGTCTACTTACCTGATGAATTTTCAGAACATCAACTTTAAAGGTAAGTTTTTGACATAATTAACTAGGCACATTCGTTATTACAAACCTATCTTTTATATGTACTTTTGTAAATATCATCAAGTATTCATCATCATAGAAATACAATTATAGTTTATAGCATTGCATCATGTATCATAACATTGTATTCGAGTATATGTTGATCACTCGGAAGCTAGCTTTGGACATGTTTTTTGTGACAGGCAGGGGAGAATTCGATAGGGAACCGTCTGTTGCACAATTTGGTTGGCAGTCCGGTGATTTGCAGCTTCAATAAAATGTACGCTATCCAGCAAACTTATCTTCCAGGATTACGTATGTCTTTACCAGAGCATCCTAGAGGAGCTGTGTATCAAACCTCTTGCTCCTTTTGTAAACAAAATTACCCTTGAGATATGTGAACTAAACAAATAAAAAGGTGCATATATGTATTTATACTTGTTCAGAAAATGATTCTACTGGCTCTAAAAATCACCTTAGATTTGGGTTTATCCTCATTTATAAAAAAAAACAAATAAAGCCACAGATCATACTTCTAACTAATGTTGGACATGATTGCCTACTGCAAATTTGAAAAATCACACAAATTGGCAGTTAAAGTGCCATTATATAAAGAAACAAAAACCTACAGTTATCCAAGTGGCCTCTTTTTGCATCCCATTCATTTTTGTAAGGTGAATTAAACAATAGTCATACGAGAATCAAGTTACAGCCATTCCAATATGAAGATTTTGCTACAATTAGCAAAGAATGTGTACAAGTTTATGTGAAATAATTGTTTACAACCGTACAGGTTTCGGTGAAATAAGTTGTGTTCAAGTTTTTGAGAAATAAAAATTGGAAGTAGGCATGGTAACTTGTATGGCTTGGGAAGTTGGTTGTTAAAAACTTAGATCAGAGGGATGCAGTTAAGTACTTTATTCAAGGTGAAAGTTAAATGGTGAGGGAGATCATTATGCCTAAACATCGATTGTTTATCGGGCCCTTGTGAAATCCAGGGGCTTTGGTAGATTCACTTCTCCCACCATTTTTTGACATACAAACTCGTGTTTTGATTTTAAAGTCTTCGAATACAACCAGTTGCAACTCAATAACCCAAAATATGCATCCATACATGGAAAATCAAACTTCTAAGCTGCACCTCTATTTAGCATAAATCAGCATATCCCAATAATTTGGAAAATTATACTAATATTCAAGGAGCATAAATCTGAATGATATTTTGTTGCATATTGTTTTTGCAATTAAAAAGCTGTAAAAAGAAATTTAATTACTTGTCACCGAAATATCATAAATAAACAAACAAACAATAGCTGATCAAATTCCATGAGATTGAAGTACATCTATTCTCCTTGTCCTGGATGTTCGTAGACAATGAATATTAGACAAGTTGGAAGTCACACGATACATGCTACTCGACCTGACAGCATCAGGCTCATGAATCCCAGAGCTAATAGCCGCCTAAACATGTACCCTTTTAAGTATGCAGAACAGCTATATCACTGAGAGAGCAAAGAAGGATCAAAAGCATTACAAAGAAGCGGCTATTTCTTCACAACCCTAGTGATTAAACCTGGAATGAACATACACGGTCATTCTCTCATTCAAGCTTTAAGAGCAGCTTTGTGAACCATTGTCTCCTTGTGTATTTGATGGCAACTCTTCTCAACAAGGTCAAGCAGCTTCTCCAAGTTCATTGACCATGAATTGAGAATATCATTGCTGTCCTTAACTACCTGGAAACATACGACCCCCATTGGCCTGTCTACCTTTGCCACCAAAGCCTTAGATACAACCATATCAGATAGATGCTTCTCCGTTTCCTGAGACATGTACAAGTCAGATCAGAGTGAGAAAAGACGGCATACACAAAATCATGTCAAAGACTCAAAGTGGACAAGTTACCTGCAAGTTCAATTAACCTAAGTCAAGCACATGAAAATACCAACGCCCAAATTTAAATTTAACTTAGGCCTAGAGCATATACATATTCCCAATTCCATTTAAAGAATTTAAAGAATACATGCAACATGCATTCCTAGCATATTAAACATTATTGCCATCAGAATTACTGAGAATTGCTGACTGAAACATCAATTTTATACAAGGATTTTCAGAACCACCCAAAAAGTTGTCTTATGTGTCTAGATGAGTTCAAGATAGAAATTATAGAGGATGTGCAAGTGATTCAAGCTCATAATGGCAACAAACCTTAATACTAAGGCATAATAAGTCTGCCAGTCTCTTCAAGGTGATCCTTGAGTAGTACTTTGAAATAACAAGTATGTTCTGCAAGGAGAGCAAAGAACCGAAATATGAATATCAACCTTATTTTCTGAGAATTATAGGTAATATAGATCGATAGTAGAAAAGCTTACATGTTCAATGACCCTTTGTTTAAGATCTTCAGCAGCTTTGTCGCCTAAAGAGCCTCCAAGCAAATTCTTCTCATTCTCAAATTCGCCCTCAAATTCATTCCAAAGACTGGTCCAAAGGACAACCTCCATTGTCACGAGCTGTTTCAATAGTGACCTGCAGCAACACATCAAAAGAACCCATACCACAATGTGACATACATATTCAGAAGTATAACTGAAAAGGAAGAAAACAATTTAGGCAGTAAATGACATACCTGAACTTGGGGATTTCAAAAAGGTTCTTATCCTCCAGAGTAGAGTTTAGAAGGCTTGACTGCATTGGATCATGTGGGGCAAGAGCCAGATACCAGCAAATTTTCCTCAAAATCTGCACAAAATACCATATTAATAAACTTTGAGATCCACAAGAAAGTGCAGCATGGTAATATTGAAGCATTGTTTACCGGAGTCCACTGCTCAGGCTCTTCCTTGACAGATGGGATCTCATAGATAGCCTTGTAACATCGACATATTTCAAGGTAGTCATTGTGGTGCTTGTAGTATCTGAACAAAAGAAACTCATTGAGGCCTCAGAATATCAACTTCCGATTAAAAATGTCAAAACAACAATAAGAATAAAAAAAACCAATTCAATAGCATAGATATGGTAATCAAACAAAAAACAACCATGCCCATAGTAGTCTAGACAAGAGAGATTACAAAATACACAAAAGCAACACCAGAAAAGTTTTGGAAAAAAAAAAAAAAAAAAAGTCGTGCTAGTAGAGTATGGCAACCTTAAATTTAACATAACAATAACCAATCTATTTTAAGGATATTTTGGTACAACCCATTACACTATAGGATATTAATTTAAGCTTGATTTGAATAAGCAAGGGCAGTTCTCTTCCTATGACAAGAGAGTGATAGTTCTGTTATGAATCTTATGATGGACTGATAAGATTCTTCAATTGTCCTCCCTGATCAGCTTTCCTTAAAAGGGCAGGGGGTTATATACTTATATGCCAAGGGCTAGTATTTTTGGATACTTCAGGTGTATGAACTGAGAAATATAATTACGGGTTGTTAAGTTCACTTGTATGGAAGGAAAACTCTTCCCACTCTTCCCACCTAGAAAAGTAGAAATAATTCTTCTTTGAGTTCTTTCCAACACTCCCTCCATCCTCCCAACACACCAATTTCCACCATTCCCAACATCAATTCTTCCACTCAATTCAGCATCTCACTTTTCTACAAGTAGCTTCCCCCAAAGCAATTTCAATAATTATCAACACTGTTGACAGTTGACACCAAAGTGCTTTCACCAGCAACAAGATTCTAGAGAGGTTCTAGTCATCACGGAACCTTAAGAGGCTAGAACAGCCTCCAAAGGATGCAAGCAACTTCTCTATTTTGCGATCTAAACTTTTATCTCCATAAAAAGTCTTGGGGCGTAAGAAAATTGGGATGGTGCATGTGATTTTAGATTGCAGAAAGGATGATGGTTGAGATGTAGAGGTAAATGATAGCAGAGAGAGACAAAAAGAAGCAACTGGGTGTGGAATTAGGTGGTAAAGTTACCACACTAATGTGATGGAGTGATGATAGAATGAGATTAGAGGCTAGAGGGAATAAAAGGAATATATGGCTGTCTACTAAGCTTATGGAAAAAATAGAATTTTTCCAGGATAATTAGCCTAGAAAGTCACCCCATAAATTTTACCCCTTAATTTATACTTCGGCTCCAATTATGCCATTAGTCTATTCTCTCTACCATCTTAATCTCTCAAAGAATGTAAAAGAATCCCCAAATATCAACGAAAGAAACAACAGAACGCACAGAAATTTTCCAAGCACAAGATTTCAAGAAGAAAGTACATTAATTTGACTATTTGCAACCAAAAACAAGTCATGGTGCCAGGCAAAATCTACTTATTGAGAAATGAAACTAATTTTTACATTCAATCTCCAAGAGATAAAGAAAAAAAAAACCAATTACTGCAAATCAAAAAAATTCAAACCCCACAGATGTCCTAGCAAGAACAGAATTAAAGAAGTACTCCATAAAAGAGAATCTTGAACTCACTGAATCATCAATTCGTAATAAATACGCTTCAATTCTGGCAATGTTGGAATATTAGCAGGGGCCTCTTCTACAATGGCATCACCTTCCTTAGGTTTCTTCTTTTCTTTTGAAGGATCAATATCAAAAACTCTGGGACTGATTTTCCTGGATAGGATTTGAGCCCGAACAAAGTCTTTACGGTCTAAACAAAGGCGAACCTGCAAAACAGAATAATTTTCCAAATTTTAACTCATCATCAACATTTAAACACAGCTAAAATAATAAAGTAGAAACATTTATCTCCAACAGTAAACTATTACTGCCAGGAGAAGAGATAATGGAACCAACAAAACTCGAAAAATGGATCTTACTTGCTCAAGAATAAAAGCAATCTTTTCAGTTTTTGCCATTGCACCAAAGGTTTCAACCTGCAGTATCACAAATATGTGTAATGATGATCAATTACGCAATTTTTACCAAAAAAAATAGTCCTGAAACATATTTTAAGAAATACACAAGGAGTCATACACATAAGCAACTACACTTACCGCTATCTCTTGCATCAATTCAGCAGCTTCATCGATAAGCCCTTGTTCTTCCTTAATCTTAGCAAGGGTCTTGATCAAACGTGCCCTTTCTATTTCAACGTATATCTGTAACAAACCGAAAACGACATGAAACAAATGAAAGATAAAATATTAACAAAAGACAAGCTCAACATGGTAATATCTGGTTACCTTCCCAGCAGATACACTATTCAGTGTTTTAATGAGCTCTATACGAGTATCAAGATCAGGTGTTTGATCAATGTAACCCATGGCTTGCTGCACCATTCCTGTCACAGCCTGTAAATAAAGGAACCTCCTGATTAAATGCTTCACGAAGGAATGATGACTCCAAAATTAAAAGGTAGGTAACTAAGAAAAGAATAGTGCACTATGTAGTTTGATTTCTGTCTGGTGAACCATAAAAATTATAAATCATAAATCCATATGAACTACACAGTTTTAGTAAAAATTCCAAGAATATCAACATGATACAATAGTAAGAAGTCAGTTGCTGGCTTGCTGCAAACAAAACTAGGCCTACAGTGGTGATGGCTTAATCCAAGACCCCTAAGACAATATAATTTATCCATAAAATAGTTAGTTACTGTCAGAAGTTTGTAAAAGGTAAAATTGTGCAGTAAGGCAGTAGTGCAGCTGATGTTATAATGCTCATATGAGGCTCATGCTTATTGTAGCGAGAGAAAATCTACTGGAGGTAACACACCCCTACTGATAAAATTAATCTTCTAGTTATACAAATTATATCGAAGGCCCTATTCTATTCGCCTTAGTTTGCAGAAATTTTATTTCCTATTTACTAAAATAACATTCTTTTGACTAACAAAAGCAGGGTTTTTACCGAATTTTCACTGATTTAATATGTTGTTTGATCTTTATAGTTACTGATAATTACTGATTAAAACTGATTTTTACTAAACTTGAATCATTTTTACTAATTAAAGCTCATATACACCCTTTTAACATTAACTTTAGCAGTTTTGCTATACAATTATGTTTCTTTTACACTTTGTTTGGATAGCAAAGAAGGAAGGAAAGGAAGGGGAGGGAAAAAGGAGGAAGGGAAGGGAAAAGAAAGGGAGGGGAAGGTGAGCTTCATTTTCCCTCCAAATCTCTCCAAATTTGGAGGGATTATGCTTATACAGAGAAAGGGAAAATGGATCCCTCCCTCACCTTCCCCTTCTTTCCCCCAATCTTTTACCCAAACAAGAGAATTGGTCTCCCTCCCTTTCTCTTCTCTTCTTTTCCTTCCATTTCTTTCTATCCAAACAAAGTGCTAAGGTCTAGAGAGTAGAGCCTAAGCTTTCTCTAATTTCTTATGTATATATTCAATATCACAGTTAACAAGCTTCCTATTCCTGATAAATGTGAGAATTCTCACCTGATTCTAGTATTCTACGCATTGTTTTGCAAACAAAAGTGCATATCTAGGCAATCTAGCAGAATAGCAAGTTAGGTTCAATATGGAAACATAGTGTGGTCCAGTAAATGTGATTAGGGATATGCTACAACAGAATTCACCAATGTTGCAACTCAAGGTATATACTCAATGAGCAACAAAAACAGAACAAGAATGAAACATTCTAGGCACCAGTGGGGTAAGGAAAATTTTATCCTTATAGAAAGATGGATGGTATTAGCTATACTTAATCACTTAAAATGTGATATCACTTAACCTTGAAATATTCAGATTAAGGATAAATCCGTCTGACTCACAGAATTGTACATTTATAGCACAGAGCCACAGATATTATCAAAGATTACATAACTATGACTATAGCTGCTTCAGTCATGATAAAATTCACTAAAGTACAATATACACTAAGCAAACAACTAGAAAAATGTCATTACATCAAAATTAACAATGTGTACCTGTTTGAGTTGACCTCTGCGCTTTGACAGAACAACAATCTGATCATTCAAGGTTTTCCAGGCTTTAGCTTCAAAGCATAACTGCAGAATGTCACACGCAGCTTTTCTAGTTCCAGCAACATCTCCAGCAAGCCTCATTTGCTTTTCGACATTCAATAATGCATCTATCTGTGCTTCCAGATTGCCTTGATTGTCCTGCAAATTAAAGTCCAATAAGAGAACAGGTCAAAAGGTTAACAAGGAGAATGAAACAAAGAAAGGAAGCATGATAAATTTCATTTTATCACCAAAAATCCAATACATAAAACTTTGATTTTGGGAACAAAAAAGAATGTAATTAAGTGCATAAATCTCATTTTATCACCAAAAAGGCTTCATTGTAGAAGTTTGAGACAAGCTACGTTTTGTAACTTCCATGATTGCAAACCAATTACAGGATGGGGTAGCTTTCCTAGTTCTATATTTTTGGAATGAAGCAAATCCCAACCCCCGTCAGAACCCACAGACATCAAAAGGGAAGGATACATCAGTGTAATTCAACTAACCATATAATACAAACACGAGAAAAAAATATATTAATCATCAGATAATGACGAAAGTGAATTGCTAGAGAGACATGTGAACTGAACAGTGCTTCTAATTTTATTCTCCCACTCCCCATCCAAACATAAGAACACTGAAAGAAAAAACCTTAAGTGCAAAAACATCTGTTAAATTGTAGAAATAAACAAGTCAGCCGGCAATCTAGCAAAATACTTGAATTGGAAGAGGTCATCACTTATCAAATAGTGGTGAACTATGTAAATTGGCCAGAAAAATCAAACACGGCTATCCTATGAACCTTTTGCATGTTTTAGGTCCAATACGAAGTGGAAGTATCCAAGTATCGAGTATCCAACATAGACACTTGGAGTAAGGAGCAGAAGATGAATTGCCAGAGAGACGTGTGAAGTTAACCCTTCTACTTTTGTCAACCAACTCCTCCAACTCCCCCCACCCAATTACCGAGTCTTAGAATCTACAACTACCAAGAACAAATTAAGCTCCAAAATTGTAAATATAAGTCATGCAACTACATGATTACCATCCCCCTTCCCCTCCCAGAGAGACGTGTGAACTTAACCCTTCTACTTTTATCAACCAACTCCTCCCACTCCCCCCACCCAATTACCGAGTCATCTACAACCACGAAGAACAAATTAAGCTCCAAAATTGTAAATACAAGTCATGCAACTACATGATTACCATCCCCCTTCCCCTCCCAACAAATACGAGTTTATTCTCTGATAAGCTACATTGCAACCTCCTTTATTCCGACCTCTTCATTTCGAATTTGGGTATAGACACTTTAACAATTAATTCCGAGCTACAGCTAAATAAATTTATCATAAACAACAGAATCGGATAGTTGAATATATACCCATTTCGAATTTGGTGATATACTGCCTAAAATTAGGACAATTAGATAAAGCAAAAAGGGTTTTATTATCGGCAGTTTATGTTTTCTAAATCTGGATCCAATCAAAAATGGTAATTCGTGTTATTGTTGCAAAGAACAAAATTGAAGTTAATGAAATGAAATTAAAGATCTAGAAACTCACCGCCATCGCAAATGGTCGTCGAAAATTTAGGGTTTGCTTGAAAACCTGAAGCAGCAAAAGACTTGACTAAATTATCAAATTAAACTCTTCTTACTAACGAAAATGAACAGCAAAATTCTAGCATTTCAGTAATTAAATTATAATTCAATAAATAATCAATCAACCTTAGAAGAACCCTAAATTGAATAAAATTGACGATTAAAAGTAGAATGAAAAATTGAAATTCGATGATTATGATAGACATCGAACCTATGAAGCAGCTTCAATGGAGCAGAGAAAGCTGAGAAGCTGCTTAGACGGAGGAATTCAGAGAGTAAAGATTGAAGAACACAGTGAAGAGGAAACGTGTGTTTATTGCCTAATGACTGCTCAATATATATTTCCAACATTAAATTTTTTTTAAAAAAAAAATAATTAAATTAAAAAATTGAAAAAAAAATTGTTATAGAGTTCAAATTAGGCTTGATCAACAAGAAACTGTCAAAAGTTTTACAGTATTCCTATGGGTGTAAATGAACCGAACCGAACCGAATACTACCTTGTTCATGTTCAAGTTCAATTAACTTAGGCGAGTCCGAAAACGATCCCGAGCTTTCAAGCGAGCTCAAAAATATGTTCAAGCTCGGCTCATTTAGTATGCTATATGTTCGCGAACGGTTCGTGAACGGCTCGTTTATTAAACGAGTTGAGCGTTCCATGCATGAGTTTAGTAATAAACGAGCTTGGTACTTTGACATATGAAAATCTCAAAAAAAAAAATAAATAAATAAAAAAAAACGAACATGAACGAGCTTCAACCGTGCTTCAACCCGAGTAGTTTATTGATCGGCTTGGTTCATTTACACCCCTAAGTATTCCTTATGCCCCGTTCAATTCACCTTATTTTTACTAAACTGAAATAATTTTTACTGAACTGAAATAATTTTTGCTGAACTTAAATTATTTTTACTGAACTGAAATTATTTTTATTATTTTTACTGAATTGAAATTATTTTTGCTAAAAAAAACTAATTTTTCCTAAACTGAAATTATTTCTACTGAATATTATTTTTTTTAAGGTGAAGTGAATAGGGCCTTAGTCATTACCACCTTAATTAACTTTTAGGAAGTTGAATTGAGTAAGGGGTCGTTTGGTTTGACGGGGTAATCGGAATGGAATTAATAGAGGGAAAGAATCGAAATAGAATGAAAATCCCGCAATTTTGCTATGTTGTTTGTTTTTAATAACAAAGGAATGGAATGAATGGAATGTTACCAGTCCAAACACCATACCACCACATTGCTTCACTTCCCACAATTTCTAGCCACCACCCAGCCACTTTACCACTCATCGCGCCTCCTCCACCACTCGTCGCCCCTCGCCGCATCTCCCCTGCCCTCACCGCTGCTCCCCGCGCCCTCACAGATCTCCCCTCCCCCGAAAAAACCTCCCTTAGCCCAGCAAAACCCTAAAATCAACTCCCTCTCCCCGTAAAACCGTCGGTCGGCCCTCCCACCACCCTCAAAACCCTAATCGCTAGGGTTTCCAGGGTGGAGGGATTGGCTGGCGACGGTTTTACGGGGATTGGGAGGGGTTTCTAGGGTTTTACGGGGGGTTGTGAGATGTTTTGCAGGGGAGGGGAGGGGCGGCGATGGTCAAGGGAGGGGCAGCGAGGGGAGGGGAGGGGCGGCGAGGGTCTGGTATGAAGGTGGGCTGGTTTTCCGGTGGTGTTGGTAGGTAGGAAGGTACCGGTGGTGATGTGGTGGTGTGATGGTGGCCAGAGAATGGGAATGGAAATACCTAGGTGTAGGGAATAAATTTCAAGCGTTAACCCCTAGCTTGAACCCCACTGTGATCATACACTAAAGTACGGTGGCGTCCAAAAAGGAAGAAGATAGAGCAAAAGAGTCGCCGACAAGTTTTAGGAACTTGTAAACCATTCACAGGGTGAAGGTTACACCCCTTAACGATCCAAGAGATCGTCAACTCCATAAGGTGTAGAACTAAATAAGGGTTCGGGGATGAAGGTACAAATCCAACCTAAAAGAGATTGAACCTGCCCTAATAATAGCCCTCTACTTTATTCTGATCGTATTCATGTGCGCTTTTTGACTAACATGCAATCAATAGGATTAACCCTAAATCTGTTTATCTATGTTGGTTGAATATAATGCACAAATAAACTATTATTGGCGATCACTTGAAATATAATCAAATTAACCCTAACAAGATTATTAATTATCTTATTAAGCGTGGTTACAAATACCAATTCCCTTTAAACATGCATAAAAGGCGTGATCAAGCAATAAATAATAAGCATCAAGCAACATAATAATAATCATAACAATAATAATAATCATCATTATAAAATTATAATTATAATGAAAACAATAATAATCATAAATAAAATAATCATCATCAAAATAATAATAATAATATTCATAATCATCATAAATTATAACAATTAAACAAAAATAATCATGTTCATGTTAATATTAAAGCATAATAATAATAGCAAGATCCTAGGCATGATACTAACAAGATTAATAACAAACCCTAGCATGTCACTAAGCAATAAAAATCAAATCTTTAACCCTAACATGATACTAACATGAATAAATATTAGGAAGAACATAGGAAGCATCGTAACAATCATATTTAATATTAAAATTACCCTACACATGATACTAGGAATATCATAATAACAATGTAAACATGATTTCTACATCACAATATCAATAAATCAATAAAGTACTTACTTTGATTCCTCGTACCTCTTTCTAATAACAAAATACACACGTTAGTAACTTCAAGGAAAATAATAATCAAAACAATTAAATTAAATAATTGAAAAAGAGATTTAGAGAGTTTAGACTAGATTTGGGACCAAACCCTCATAAATTAAACCTTTCACGTTTAGGGCGAAGGCAACTTCGAACTTGGCTAAGTGTGTCTAAGTCTTGCGAATGCGGAATTTTGTATTTGAGAAAAGACTAGTTTAGAAAAAGAGAGAGAGACAATAATCAAGAAAATCTTGATGAGAGTTGGTGAATGAAAGCGGAGTTTTTAATACGTTATTTATAGAGAAAATCAGCCAAAAAGATAAAATAAACAAAACAGAGTCTGACGCATAAAAAACAGAGCTGGCGCAAACCCTGGCTAACTGGCGCCAGGCACCAACACTAGCGCCAGGCGCCAATGGCTAGCGCCAGGCCTGGTTCCAGGCGCCAATGCCTGGAGTCAGGCGCCAAGCCTGGTTTTAACGCGTTTAGAAAACCAAATAAGTTTGCCGTACTGGAGGATAAAATCATATAATTTCCTCTAAAATGCTATTTGATTTTAATTAAAACTCTGAAAAGTCAACAAAAGTCAATTTATCAATGCTAATTGAATTAGGAATGAAAAGAACCTTCTAGAAGAATCTAGAAGATTAAAACCATTCCTAATTGCATTAGGAATGATAAATCATATTAGGCCCTCCCCTAGATCATTGGGCCGTATGTAAAGCTCAAACCGGGCCCAGTTTGGTAAATTGGCCATAACTTCCTCAATATTCATCGGAATTGGGCTTATAATATATCGTTGGAAAGGTCTTTGCAAGCCCCATCCAACTACACTACTATTGGACCCATATCATGGACCAACCAAACTGGATTGGCTATTTTCTTAAAATAAGTTTTCAAAAACAGAGAGAAAAGAAAAGAAATTAAAACTATCCGCAACACTAGACTTTCCACACTTTCGCTTCATTCGATTATGATTCGACGTGAAAGGTACTCATCACTGGGTTTGGTTTTGGGGAGACACAAATGGGTGTCTACAGAAGCCCCCACTTTGACTGAGTTTGGAGAAGCGCAAGTTTCGAAAACAAAAGTCAAAGTAGCGATAGGGACGGAGAATGATTCAGAACGTTCTGCGATCCTAAATCACTCTTGTAACGCCAATACCTGCAAAACTAGCGTTAGTTAAACAGATAAGAGAGTTAAGAAATGCGTATCTTGCACCGTCGAGCACACGTCTCTGAAAGTAATCGATTTGCTGCCGCTTTACTGTTGTTTTGATGACCTCCTGCAAGCTAGAGAATGTCATCCCGCTTGAAAACCGCTACGCCTGTAACTGCTTCCAAATTTGGAAGATTGCTTCGCCTGAAACGATCCTCCTCCGCTTTGATAATATTCCACGTCCAAGGGAATCACCTTCAGTTACTTCTTGACAACTTTCCACAATCTATGGAACGCCATCTTGCTGCTTGTTTTGACGATCTTCCGCAATCTAGGGAACGCCGTCGATCAATGTTGCTACATCTCGAGCCTTTTCTTGAATCATAGTGACAACCTCCACAATCTTAGCAAAAGTCATCGAAGACCGCCTCATCATGAACCGCTCTTCTCATATCTTGGTGACAACCTCCACAATCTTAGCAAACGCCGCCCATCTCGTGCTATCTTCTCAAATCTTGGGTGACAACCTCCACAATCTTAGCGAATGTCATCGAAGACCGCCCATCTCGTGCTATCTTCTCAAATCTTTGGTGACAACTTCCACAATCTTAGTGAATTCCATCTTGCTATTTCGATGTTCACTCGTCTTTGAACAAAGAGCTTCCTTTTTTTGTTATGTCCACGCGTCTCTGAACAATAGAGCTTGAAAATAGGAGATCTTTGATGATATGTCCACGCGTCTCTGAACAAAAGAGCTTCAATACTTGAACGTTTGTTGCGATAATATTCTGAAGAAAAAATTCTGAAGACCAACGTTTGTCGATCTCTAAAGCTCGCCTGAACTTTGTTTCCGCTAAAACCAGTATGTCGGTGTTTCCGTGATGAGCCTATTCTTAAGCGCTTTAATCTAAGTGAGACGATCTTTCATCAGGTCAACCACTTATTGCGATTGTAATCAAACTGACTACTTAATCATGTCAAATTGCTTATAGGGGCTAACTGGCGTACCAAGGAACCCGAAATTGTTGTATGAGGTCGAAATCACCTTTCTGATAGGCTTCGAGCTCTGTTGCTGCTGAAATATCTCTGGCGCCAAGAATTGACTTTGTCGCCGAACGCTGTGATAGGGTCTTCCCTATTCCGCTGCACTTGTATTTATTTTGACTATAGAACTTTGCCAATTTCTTTAATCATCATGGGGTTGACCTAAGGTTTAGCATTGCTTGACTCATCGACTTGACACGACTCAAGGTATAAACTTGACTCGATATGATTGACTCGAGGTTGACTCGACTCAAAGTTAAATGACACATGTGTTAGACTCAAATCAAAGTGATATGACATGACATGACATGACTCAATGTGTACATGACTCGTGTGTGCATTGTAATGTGATCGTGCGACTCGAAAAATGCAAAAAAGCAAAAATTTTCCGTCATTTTTGTGGAGGGTACCGACTTTCTCC